AAGATTACATACTTTTACGGTAATCTAAATACTTAAAAGACGCATTCTCTCATATTTCATTGCGATGTTTGCTGAGCTCCAACCGGATTTATGGTGTAAGATTGAGAATGACTTTGTCTGTCACCCTCACATGAGCACATTACACAGCTCACAACTACCAACAGTCAAATCCACACCTACACCTTGTGAAAGTCTGCCACAGTATTAAAAATTGTGCTTTCTTTAAAATCAAGTTGCCAAGAGAAAAAAGCTAATCACTTATTAGCGACATCTATCTTGATTTGTCAGCTGAGACAAAGTGGATGCTGTGGACTGGTTCGCTTCTATTTGCGAATAAAGAATCAAATGTCATAGAATTCAGTTTGATTTGATATCTTTTTGAAAATTAGTATTGATCATAGAAAATATTCAAAATCATTATTCACCTTTGGCTACAATTCAACTAATTAGAACAGATGATTATTGAAATTCTATTCAAGATTGTTTGTCGAAAAATATTATCAATAAATATTTTATATTGTTAGAGAAATATTTATAAATGTTAGAATGATCAAAATCATTTTTTTATAACTGATTTACAAATTGTTGTCGAGAGAAACATTTATCAAGAAGACAAATCAAACCATATTTAAATCAGTTCAAACTAAGTTTATTCGTCTATTTGCTAGAATTTATTTTCATTACTCAAATTTTATAGTTGATTATTCAGCGTTTTTATCATAAAAGTTAATTAAAAATCAATTTTCCTTTCTAGTTTTAGATAATACATATTGTATCAACTTAAGTTTACAAAATTTTTCAAATAAAACGATATGAATTAACAAATTATTAAATGAAAGGTAAGACTTATTATCAAAATCTTCTCTTAATATTTGTTTAAGAAAAGAAACAGTTGCTTTTATTTGAATAAAGTAGGTTTAAGTAAATGATGAAGTTGAACATTGTCAATTTCATAAATAACTTCTGAACTTGAAGTAAAGATGAATAAAATAAGTGAAATTATTATTGATCATATACTTCACATATTCTATTTATACTTCCAACTGACATAATTATTTAACATTGACTTCTCAAGCAATTAGTTACGATGTTAATCTAATTTTATTCTTTTATTTTGAAAATAAGTTTTCATTATTCAAACTGGTAATGATGAGAAAATGTTTAGATTAATATTTGTTTTTACTCAAGAAATTTATTCGAACCGTTTAAGACTGATAATAATATGACAACGAAAAGTACTCATGTTCGAATCCAGGTCCTAGAATTAAGTGTGTCATATGATGAAAAAGCATTGGGCACCGATAAAAATGACGAATTACCATTTGAAATCACCAACCTACCTTCTGATGACACAAATTAAATATTTTATTTTCTATTTAAATGAAATTCAGCTAAAAATTCAACAAATACCATTGACAAGAGATCAAAAACGATAGACATACAAATGAAACATCAATAACTTTTTACTCAAATTAATCTTTATTTGTCAAATATGCAACCTACTATTCAGTTTTTTTTTTGTATAACTTAATAGTTTGTTTTATTTTTTTGTAGAAAAAAGAATATCTTTATGGCTGGCCATTATCTTTAATCAAACACTTAGATTCAATGTCGATAAAGTAATCTGATCATATTTCAATTTGTTTTTGATGAACAAAATATTTCTAAGAGAATAAATTTAATTTTTCTATTTAATGTTGATATAAAATTCATGTATTGTCTATTTACTAAAAATAAATAGATCGATATTTTTCTTTCGTATATGCGCAAGAAGAAAGAAACAAATATTATTCGCTTTGTAGACAAATACAAAGATCAATAGAATAGATAATAAAAAAATGATGTCATGATATTGATATTTTACTTTTTGAAAACATCAATTTTTTTCCTTTCTGCGAAAGACTATTAAAATAAAATTTAACTATTTTTTTTTTAGATAAACACACATGTATTTGAATAATGCAATATTTATCAATAATCTTAAAGCGATCAATGTCTCGTTCTGGTATTGATCGTTGGTTTTTTCGTTCATGTCGTTTACATTCTACAACTTATATTAAAACTATTCTATGTCTAGTTGTAATTTATCTATTAAATTCAATTCTTGGTGTGCAATATTATATATGGTCAGAAAGATCATTTGAGAATGAATATCATTTAACAATGACACAAATTGATATTACAAAAATAAATGAAGAAAATCCAGAAAGAATTTTAGGTTTACCAAAACATATTATGTCAAATAAATTTATTATAAATAATGAATATTTATGTAATCATGGAAATTCATTAACAGTTATTCAACCACATTTATTGATCTTAGTAAAATCAGCAGTTGAGAATTGGAAAGCAAGACAAGCTATTCGAATGACATGGGCAAAGAATGATTTTTTAGAAAAAAATAATATTAAATTAGCTTTTGTTTTAGGTAAGTTTTATTAAAACAAATTTTGAAATTTTCTTCTTAAAAATAATTTATATCTATCAAAACTAAAGGTACTATTAGATCACAAAAATTTTCTTCAAGTAAGATAAACTTCATCAATTTATTACATGTTGATATTCATTTCTTTTCTCATATATTTATACTTGCATGATTATCTTTTATTCTATTATGATTATTTTTTTATTGTCATTTCTATCATATTCATATTGATTGTTGTAGGGGAAAATGAACAGAATTTCAGTGTGGAAAAAGAATCACAAAAATATAAAGATATTATTCAAATTGATAAAATGGATTTTTATTATCATAATTCATGTAAGTTTTGTTTAAATAAAAAAATATAAATACAAATATCGATGTTTTTTCTTAACTGTCTATCATATTAATCTAGAACTATTATAACTACATCAAATTATAGAAGTACTATGAACAATCTATTTTAGAGTACGAGATTTATGACTGTTTCATTGATAAATTTTGTTAGAAATCAGATTGAGACAATGGACAAGAACAGTGTTAAAAATAGAATCAATCTGAAACTGTACTAAATATTTAAAAAAAAATCCTTTAATCTTAAATAGTAAATCAAACAGACAACAAATTTAGATATCTAGTTTATATCTGACATTACATACTGATCATTAGAAAATAAACAAAGATGAGTCACATTTATTGATTGTTGCAAGTTGAAATTACATATTTTTATAGTTTTTACTAAATCTACACTCTCAAATAAGTTCGAAATTTTGATTTGACAATTTTTAAGTGTTTAGATAGCATCTGAATATTTATAAGAACATTGATTATAGAGAGTTAAGATACAGACTGGTGTTCAGGTTTAGAATTTCATTCTAATTTAAGATTCTCCTCTCATCCCTCAAAAATTCATCTTGGATCAAGTATATTCAAATCGCATGAAATTTTCAGTCTTATACCATAACGTTTTCGCGAAATATTCAATGAACAAGGATAGAATAAAACTTATTTGCCAATCCAACATACTCTGTGGGCTTTAATTCTATAGACTTAATTTATTTTTCTGTTTGAAAGAGCATATCAGGATGCAAGGCATGGTAGAGCCCTTTTTCTAATTTCTCACTTTTTAAGGCGAGAAAAGTTCAATATCTTTCAAGAAAAGATGGTACTTTTATTATAAAGGTATCTTTTTAATATAATACTAACAAAGCTTAATTCAAACAAGGGCACTATGATGCCTTGCATTTGGTTACAGCGACGTTTCATCGAAAATTCTGGGATCCATGATCGGAAAAACATCAACTGAGATAAAACAAAAACCGTTTTGGTGCTTTAACTGAAAAACTCATATTATTTATCAAAGACAAACATTGCGTTATCTTACGATGTATTCATCTCAATTTTCTTGTTTTTTGTGAAAATTTTACTTTTCCTTCTGGAAGAGAGAAGACTTGAATGAAACGTATTGTTTACTAACAGTTTAAATAAATCGAAAAAAATGATGAGTATTTTTGTTTTTTTTTTCACTTTTAAATTTGATTTATAAATTAACAACAAGTTTTTAATTGAAACTTTTATGGCGGAATCGAGTAGTCTGAAGTTTTGCCTTGCATTTTTTTAAGTTAAAATAAATGATTTTTTTTTTCGATATAAAGTTGATTAAAATATAATTATTGAACCTTCGATCGGATAGATCGGAATAATTCTTTTGAAAAGTAAATAATTGTTTTCTACATTTATAAAGAATTTTGAAATATACTGGAAGAATTTTGTATATAGATAAAATGGTAATGATGCTTCGTTGGATAAGTGAATATTGTACATCTAAATCTACTCGTTTTTCACAAAATGATCTTCGAAAATATGCTTTATTTGTTGATGATGATTATTATATTGATTTAAATTCTTTATTAACATATATAAATAAAGTTGATGAAGATCCTACTATGACATCATATGAACGACGAACATTTTTAACTGGTTATGTTTATCAAGGTTCTCGTCCACGTCGATTTTTAAATGATCGTTGGTATATATCAATAAATGATTATCCATATGATCATTATCCACCTTATGTAACAGCTGGATGTTTTTTAATGACAAGATCTAATGCAAGACTATTTTATATAGCATCAAAATATACTCGTCTATTTCGTTTTGATGATATTTATATGGGACTTTTAGCTTATTCAATGTCAATTAAATTAATTCCAAATAATGATTTATTTTCATCATATGGTTCATCAACGATTTTATTAAATAATCAAACAGGAATTTTTACAAGATTTAAAAGATATTTTACTAATCAAATTAACTTAAATTCAACAAACAAACCTATTTGTATTCATGGATATCGTGGAGAAGAATTAATTCAACTTTGGAATGACATCTATCAAACTAATCTGACACTTCTAGTAATTCATTGATAATCTAACATATTTCTTTTCTCTTGTTGTCAGATCTGATTTTTCTATATTTACGTGCAAATGATAAAAATGAAAAAAAAAAATATATGAATGGAGAGATATATTATTAAGAAAAATATCTCATTTTTCTAGATGTTAATTAATAAAACAAAATGAAGCATAACGATTTTCTTTGTGGAGTTATTGAAGGTAAGTTTAGAATATTGTTGAATTATCTTATATATAGTATATAAACACACTGAAAACATTCGTTTCATAGTATGAAAAAGAGAAGATTGTCTAATAAAATTCTTCGATTATTCATCCAACTTTTTAATGAGAGAGTCTGATTGTCATGGAAAGATGTACACACGCAATCACAACTACGTCTTAAATTTTCAATGTCTCATATACTAGTACTTAATTGTGTTTCGAAGAATAAAGGCTGGAATAGATTTTGAGAATGTTTCAAATAGTGCAGTTTGGGATTTTTGCGCAGGGAAAAACTTCTTATTTAAAATGTCAATGATGATGAATATTCATCCATTAACTTGCCACAGTCGTCATGTTATCAATATAAAAAAGCGTTAACTGATCAAGTTACAACTTAAGAAAATAATCTATATGAATGTTTGTGAGCTGATCAATATATAACATAGTGCGCTGAGACCTCCTGGAGATTTGACATATATATATGTACAACAAGCTTATTTCCCAGTTAAATCAATAGTTAGAATAATAATAATTATAAATTAAAAAAAACGGAAAAATAACGAGCAAATAGCAAAAGGCAAACAAAAAAATAGAACGCCAGTATAAAGTAAGAAAAAATTTCTGTTCGAAATACATAAATAAATATGACAGATTGCTTCTCTGATAATCGATTATCTTGTAAAATAATAATACTCTGCAAAAAATTTTTCACTTGATATATTTTGTATTAGTATAATAAGGTTAAACAACACATGTGAGTTCCATATATCAGTCCCAAAGAGGCTATGCTAACAAGTTTTTTTCGATCTAAGAAAATATCATTGAGAAAGTTTTTCAAAATTTGTCAAAATAAAATAATTGTTTTTGGAATTCTTTCTAGTTATTTAGACGAGTGATTTGCCAAATTTTCTTTTGATAAAAAAAAAAGATTTTTCAATTATATAAATGAACAATATATTTTTAGTAAATTTAATTCAATGAAATTTATTTATTTCAGGTTATTATGGTCGTCCATGGTCATTTAATCAACGTAAAACACTTTTTGAATAGTTCGTATAATCATTTCTTTTTTTTTTTTTGTTGATTTAAATATAAAATAATATATTCAGTTGTTTGAGATTTGGTTTAAATACATATGTATATGCACCAAAAGATGATGCAAAACATCGATCTCGTTGGCGTGATCTTTATTCGAACGAAGAATCATCTGAATTGAGTCAATTAATTCATATAGCTAAACGATATGGAATTAAATTTATATATGCTTTATCACCCGGTTTAGATATTATTTATTCATCAGAAAAAGATTTAGGAGCATTAAAACGAAAATTTGATCAAGTATTTATTTAAAATGATTTAACAATAGATTTAAACTGATTTTTTAAAATTTAGTTATCAAGTTTAGGATGTGAGAATTGGGCTATATTATTTGATGATATTGAAAGTGAAATGTGTCAACAAGATAAAGATCGTTTTGCATCATTTGCACATGCTCAAGTCGCTGTTACTAATGAAATATATGATTATCTTAATAAACCAAATGTTTTACTATTCTGTCCAACACGTATTTAATCTTAAATCATTTAAGTCTTTATATGTTTTCTTTTTTAGAATATTGTAGCCGAATGGCAAAGCCCTCTCTCGAAAGATCTTCCTATTTACAAACAATCGGTAATGGTCTTCATCCAGATATTGATATTTTTTGGACAGGTAATGTTAATTTATTTAATCAAATTTCACTATCTTTGTGATCCTTAATTTCTTAAGTTCGAGAGTTTTATTCTTCTTAATATACATATTATTGAATGAAAAAAATCATGAGAAAAAGAAAAGTAAATTATAAGACTGTCGAGTACAAACATAGAGAATGCTTCGAAGATAAAGTATTATTTTCTTGATATAACCAAAGTTTCCTTTAATACCAAACAATAGACAAGAACAAAGTTCTCGACTGAAGGCGCGAAATTGAACAAGACATCCTCAAAATTTTCGACTTTCTACCAATTTTCTTTTAATATGTTTATCATAATTTTAGACATCTTTTGCGGTAGAATGAGAACCACGGCGGTTTTTGTTCTTCCTTCACTCCAGTATTGAAAGCACTTTCTGTCACATTTTTAGTCCTTTTTATCCATAAAAAAAAATCGATAATTCCATAGCAGAAGTCTATATCGTATTGAACTAATGAATTAAATAATCTGCATAGTTTTATTGTTGACTAAGATAAATCTATTTGGCTTAGAGAAGAACTTGTCAATTTCATCAACTTGATTCGATAGAAAACTGTAAAATAGAGATAAAAATTGAACTAAAATAATATTTTTGTTTTTGTTAAATTGTAGGTCCAAAAGTAATATCAAGACGTATAATCATCTCTCATATCTTATCAGTAAATAGTGTTTTACAACGACGTGTAACAATTTGGGATAATTTAAATGCAAATGATTATGATCAACGTCGTTTATATTTAGGACCATTTTCTGGTCGTTCATCAAATTTATCATCTCGTTTATCTGGAATGTTAACAAATCCAAATTGTGAATTTGAATTAAATTTTATTCCACTTAATACTCTTGGTCAATGGTATCATTCATTAAGAATAAATGAAAGTCAAGATCAAATTGATGATGATGATGATGAAGATAGTCTTCAAATAACTCAAATTTATCAATCTAATAAAGCATTAGATCAAGCATTGATTGATTGGTTACCTGAATTTCATAAAGTTAAAACAGCTCATGATTCTCAACAAATTTTAAAAGTATTTTGAATTTTTTTTTTTTTTTTTTTTTTTTTTTTTCTATATATTTGAATATATTGTTTTATTATAATTATTTAATTTAGATTGATAATTCTCCACAAGCAATGAGTCCTAAACCAACAGTATCATCATTAATTATTGATGAAGATTCTCAAGATTCGATATGTGAAAGTCAAACATCTACAACATCATCAAAAATTCATATAATGGAATGTGATGGAAATGGAAATACAAGTGATATTACATTAGATGATATAAGATTACTTGTTGAATTATTTTATTTACCTTATGAATATGGACCTAATGCTCAACAAATGTTTATTGATTTTTATTGGCTTAGATTTAATTATTCTAGAAATGATAAAGTAAATTTATTTAATATTTATTAATAAAATAAAATATTTATTGTTTAAGTTAAATGAATGGCGTTGTCGTGCTTCATCATTTCATAATAATGCAAAAAATGTTGGTCGTCTTGTTCAAAGATTAACAACAATTCATAATAGATCATTACTTTATGATATTTATAATTATGTTACTGATATTAGTTCAACTATTTCTCTTTGTTCAAGATATCTTCATTGGATTGGTAAATTGTTTTTATTTTTATTGATATATTTCATTTATTATATTATTTTAGATAATGATAATAAACGTTCAAATATATTCTTGTCAGGTGATGTTGAACCAGCATCAAAACGTGGTGGTCTTGCTGGTGAATTTCTGGTTTATTATTCTAAAAAGTTTTCTTTCACTTTTTTTAAATAAATATATTTATAGAATATTCTTCCAATGGGTGATTTTCAATCAATAATTAAACCAGAATTAAATTCATCACAAAATATTTTTGTCATTCAACCAATGACTTCAAACGATCAAGTTTGTTCAATTATTAAAAAAAAAAAAAAAAATCAAAACTATATTTGCTTATATTTTAGGCTCTAATGTATGCTTTATGTACACAAGTTTGTTATCGAGATGAAATCGATGATCTTCTAGATCAACATTCGGAAATTTTAGCTGATAAGTTAGTATTTCTTTTTTTTTTTTTTCAAAAATAATATTCTCATCCATCATTATCGTAAACTCTTTTGATGAAATTGTTTATTTCGATCGGAAAAGGTTCAATATTGAAAGTGAACGAGAACCAATCAATCAAGATTTCCTAAAACATCGATTATAGATGAAAATGGAATATAGAATATCATAGAAATACACGAAACTATTTTAAACCGATTTAATCAATCAAATCACTCAAAATTTACATAGATTGATATAAGCAAATTGACTATTTTCCTATTGAAACAAAAAACGAAGTCGAAACTAAAATAATTAATATTCTTCTTGTCTGATTGATAGTTCAATAAGAAAAATATTTGACATTAAACTGATCACAATATAAATAATTTTAATCTTCATGCTGATGAAATTCATCTTTGATCAAGACACAATTTTCTGCTTCTTTTTTCTATATATAAAAAAATCTTTGCTTCGATATGAACACGATTTTCTTCAGAGAGGCACTTTTCAGTTGTGACGCACAGTTTCAAATCAAATCTATACTAGTTTGTAGATTACGATGTAGGTAGAAAAAGTCTAGAAGAATTCTTCATTATACCGTATACTTTCTGAGTTATGATCATTTTATTGAACTCTCGACCTCTAGTATGTCGAATTACAAAAGTTTGACCTGGAATTTTACTCATATATTATTCTCATGGTCATTAAAATATTCTCAAACTTTTGGTTCAAAAGAATGTTGATTTTTTTTAGATAAGAAATATTTAAAAAACAAACATATACTAAGAGTAGGAGGTAAAACATCGAATATCTTCAACATTCAATATTTTAAGAAGGAAATATTTCTTTGAACTTATGTACCTTGTTAGAGGTTGGAAATCTAATATAAAGGTCACAACTTAAGAAGTACAAAGTATAGAGACAAATTCTTTTAAGCTTTTTTCTCATTTCATGTTAGTTAACAAATTGATATGGATTAGATTCAAAATGGTGCATCACACTAGTAGATCTTTCCTCGTTAGATAGATGTAATTCTATAATAAATCTTCCCAATAGGATGTAATCTATTATTTTGATTGAAACTTCTTTGTAAGACAATAAACTATTGAAATATATGTATTTCTTTTTTTTTCTTTGTAGGTTAATTGGTGGATATTTATTAAGTTCATTAAATAATTTTGATTTATGCTTTGCTGTAAATAATGTTGACGATGAATTAAGTGCATTTGTATTAACAATAAATGAAAGTGAAAAATATGATAAACTTATTCAACCAACATGGATTACGCAACTTCATCAGAAATATCCAAATGTTGATCAAGTAAAGAAAAAAAAACATTATTTTTTTTTTCGTGATTTGAAAATCTTTGATTTTAATTTAGAATTTTTTTGAAGTAAATGAATGTCATCAATGGATTTATGATCGATATCCTGTTCGTTTACAATTATTTATTGATCTAACAATCAAAACTGATAATGCATATTTTATTGGAAATAAATTAATGAAAATTATTATCGATAATCTCATCAAACGAGGTTTTTATTATACAAAAGAAAAAAACAAAATATTTTTTTTTTTGTCTTTTTTTATTTAGGTTGTCATGGATGTCATGCTTTATTAGATGAACGAAATCCTTTATTACATCAATATTATCTACGACTTGGCTTTGTTGATATACCAAATATGGAACAGAATGATCACATACTTCTTGTCGGAAAACAATTTTAATATTTTTTCTTTTTCTTTTTTTTACACATTTTTTCTTCTTAAAAGTCTTCATTGAAAAAAAAACATATTTCAATAGAGTTTTGATAAAATGGTCAATTTTAGATTGATTTTGATTTCAAGAAAAGCCAATTGAATTTTGATAGATTTTTTTGTTTACGAACAAGTATTGAATGCGAAAATATCGATCAAAACAAAGGCGCTGTGATTTGTTTCATAGGTCACACATGACGATAGGGACCACCGTAATAATTAAAATTTAATTCAGAGAGATTGTTACCTAATGGAATAAGAGAATTATTTGTATTACAGAGTCAAACTGTTATGCTTCTGCCCTTTGGAATGTCGATATAGAAGGGTAAATAACCGCCAATATGACGACCAACAAGTAAACCATCCACTCAAACATCTGCTTCGTGCATGACTGCACCAAACTAAAGTGCCATATGAGGATAGCCCCCATTGATTGACAATTGTTTTCGAAAGAAGCATGGATCCTGTCATTGTTGTTCAATTTTTTCAATAGATTCCAGTTGAAGAGTATGGAGCAATATTAAAACAAACAAAATCTGCTCATCGAAAGAAAATTCCCAATTGTCATCGATTAGCAAAATATCGAAAAAAAGATTCTTGACTGGGAATGACGATTTTGTCATAGAAAATAGTCAGAAAAGAAATAATCAATGTTACCAAAAGGATAATGTTGAAACGAAATATTCGTCGAAAAGACGCTAACTGATTCGCTCAAATCAATGTGCCAAATATCGAGTAAATTGCTCATACCTATAGGCAAATATATTAAAGTGAAAAATTGGTTGTAGCAGAAAACGTGACAATTCAAACATGTGCCTAAAGAAATATAGAAGGAGTCAACAATGTCCCCTTTTTTAATGCGATCGTTATGATTATCACATTTTTTTTCTTCACTTGAGAATATGTAAGGAGTAGAGAAATGGTTATTTTTATTGCCGAACTCTATGTATATCTATGATTCATTGCATCTTCTATACAAAATACAAATTGTACAAATTAAAATATTATTCCTTTTCTGGAAAAAAGTGTTTATATTATAGAAAAAATTCGAATCAGTTGCTCTGTTATGTTGATCTAAGCTAATTAGAAAGCACTAAATTCACGGATAAGGGTTTCTGAAATAAAGACGAGAGTCCGACACGATGGTCCAAACGCTGATCATCAAAAAAAAACTCTTTGTTCACATTGCCAGTTGCCATGTTTTGCAAAGAGAAATAGGAAAAATTTCTAATTCATCAAGATGCACTTTTTGTGAAACTTTCAGTCTACAATTGATTCGTTTGTATCATCGATTTAATACAAAGCCGATCTAATTAATTCTAAATAGAAAAGAATCATTTTACAAAAGTTCATAAACCTAAATCAAAAAGTATTTCACAAACTCTTCAGCAATATCCATACTAATTGAGCTACAACACCCTCTTGTAAAGACTACATAATCAATACATTCATCTTCTGTACAGATCGAAGACAGCTGAGGATTAGGTGTGAATGTGAGTATGTTCAGAGAAATTTTAACCAGTTTCGTCCTTGCTCAAAGGATTCGTCAGATGACTCAAGTCGTATTTTGATTCAAGTTCTCGAAAGACAAGTTTCATTGCGAGAGAAAATCATGTTGTTTTCAGATAGTGGATGCGTGAGGCTCGGCGACCATGTATTTATAATTCGAAATTCGTTTACTTTTGTGTTCTACTATGAAAAGTTAGAGAAATGCGTTCCGTTCTTCATTTTTTGGATGTTAGGAGTTGGTTGTTACTTAAGATATGCTACAAAACTGTGTCCTTCCTTATTCGTCAGTATTGTGGAAGTTTGGGATAGACTCTCAATCAATGAAATTCAGAGTACACTGTTATTGAAAGCGTAAGGTTAGTGTTGGATGTCNCAATTTTTTCGATAACTCAGCCGTTTCTTGACGGATCCTGCTCATCTTCGAACTCGACCGAGACATTGTTAAGACTGAACTGTGTAGAAAATTTCATCACGATCCGGCTCTCCTTTCGAAAGTTATCGGATAAACGGACGGACGGCCGGACGGACGCACTGACCGATTTTAGTAGTGTACTCACTTTTTGAGTACACAAAAAATGTATCAGCAGATTATGTAAACAAGTAACGCAACGCACATGTCGCTCACCTCTCGCTACTGAAAATCGATTACTATTATCAGTATTCCATTCGGTACCCATGTGAGAAGCAAATCAAATCAGTCTGTATTTGTGTGATATAATACGATTGAAGATCTATTGAGTAATTAATTATTCGTGTTCTTTGAATCGTATTCGACTGAAAGAAAAATCCATTTTAAGTGATTCCTCTTCATATAAGACATTGCTGCATAGAATATATTGTCCATACTCAAAATGTCTGTATGAAAGCAGGATCTTCGATTTCTATTGATACTGAGATGTTAGAAATGTCGAAAATTTATATTTATTTCTTTCGTTTCATATACAATCATCTCTCAAACGATCTTTGATTTATCCTATTGATATTTATCACGAGTGAGAGTCTTGGAAAGCATTTGAGAAACAGGCATACATATGAGTCTACAAATTCATTTTCCGCATTCTCCTAATACACATTGAAAAAACTGATAAAAAGATAAGAAAGAAATTCTGAATACTTGAAAAACATTCCTAAATTCCAATTAGGAAAGGATGGTTGATCCTTACAAAAGTTTTATAAATGATAAAAGAAATTGTGACTTGATAGAGGCAAACTCTTAAATCCGAATTGAATGCAGTTTAGATGGAACCTCTAATTCATTTGGTATTTTATTTTTGGAATTGTTTGACAACACTGATTTAAGGAAAAAATTACGGTTTTTCGCCAATTTTGAACACTGTTTCAACTGACTGGACTTGATGAGTTAACAATTGTTTTGTGGATTTTAGTGCTACCTAACGCTTACTTCCGTTGAAACTTTCAGATCAACGACTATTTGTTCGTCTGCCCTTCGCCTATGGGGCACCACTCACAGCTAGTTACCTTAATATCTAGATCCACTTTCATAGCTGATCATCCTCTACTATTTATAATCTAGCCGGTTTGCATCGGACTGCTTGCAAAAAAGTTATTGCATTTACAATACAGGAACTATGCATGAGAAGCTTCAAATATCAGACTTCGTAGTGAACAATTCAATTTACTATTAAGTTCATGATCGTTCGGATAATCAGTGCCATATTAACATTCCTTTTTTAGCAAAGTCTTATTGAAGTTCTCTCTCTTAAATATTCCAGGTATCTTATGAATTTCCCTGAAGCACATGTTTCATAAAGATGAAACAAATGTTTCTATTTTTACCAATCGTCGTCGTCTTCTAGAAATAATAGATACATAATCTCTTTGATGACGAATACACCGGTGAATATTATTTTTTTTACNAGTTCACGCTCGTTCGGATAATCGGTGCCATATTAACATTCCTTTTTTAGGAAAGTCTTATTGAAGTTCTCTCTCTTAAATATTCCAGGTATCTTATGAATTTCCCTGAAGCACATGTTTCTATTTTTACCAATCGTCGTCGTCTTCTAGAAATAATAGATACATAATCTCTTTGATGACGAATGCACCGGTGAATTTTCTTTTTTTTTTTTACAATTTTAACATCTCTGATTTCATATCAAACTATGTGTTAAATTTATATTTGATTCAGCGCAACTCATCTCGAAATATATGGTTCGGTTTTATATAGTAATGCGTCGGCTCTTCCTTCATGCAGACTTTTGAAATGTCTTGTATATTTTAAAGAATAAATTATAATCAATAATTACTTTATTTTAGTTTTCTATTAATATTGACAATAGGTCTAAGTAAGGATTGCTTTTTATATCTGGACTGATTTGATTACCATACTGCGAATAAATAATCATGGGATTAATAACAGCAGGAGCAGTTGCACTAATACTTTTGTTCATATCATAAAGATTATTGCCATCGATCGAATGTATTCTTTGCATTTGTATTTTATACTTCATGATTATGTGACTAATGCAAGACAAGGATGAACATATCATGGTTGATACACAGCCACCATCAATATTAAGATGGTGAGTCTTTTTTTCTTACAATCTTCACCTTTACAAGTGAAAATCAATATGAAAATTCTCACGTAAAAATGTACGTTTTTTAAGGAATTCAGAACACTATGATTGGAAGAGATGGAAGTATATTTTCTACGGTTTATTCTCTATGACTACCTTAATAGGTATTATTCTAAATGTGTTGATTATTCCAAAATTTTCAAGACAAGAGATAGTTTCTTTCATTATTATCTATCAAACCAATATGAATGACATTCGTTTACGAAAAGTCGTTGATCTAGATTCGCTTACTATCAGTGTACGTATATGTTGTATCCTACTGTTATTTATTGTTTCTTTTTTCAATAGCTTAATAAACATCTTGGTTTACCTAATGTAAATGTCGATAAGGCTCAATTTGTACCTATGGTTACAAATGAAGATAATAAGAAGCGAGACACAATTAAGAAGTACAGCAGAAATATTACTATCCTCTTACATTTATTGTTTTTGTTTTTTTATTGTAGTTTGAACCTATATAAAACTCAAGAGATAGATACGATCGGGGATCTTTTTATCCTTCATCTTTCAATTGAATATCCATTAGATTATACTATGATGGTACATCAACAATATTTGGTCGATAAAACAGAAATCTTCAATAGTTCCGCATACAAACCATTCAGTCTTCCAATTAAGTTCATAAATGAACACACACTTAATGTAAACATGAGCTTCTGGTCGTTTGACCAAGTCACATCATCAAGTATGCATAATAATCTTCAAACAGAAATATACAATAGAAATATATAGTCATCTACTTACTTATATAAAACAGAATTGGATAGATAAAGAAAAAGTCAACAATTTTATAGTAAAAGATACTTATGAATTTTTCATTCAATGATCAACATAGAAGGATACACAGAAGGAATAGGCATCATAAAACAGAGCATAAGATACATAAAATAGCTAGAAGTTAAATCTGGTTAATATATCGAAGTATCAATACTTTATAGTGTCGACACACTCTACCGGTATTCAAAAGCGAAATTCAAAGGACATTGGCCGCATTGGCACAATCTATTCAGTAACTAATTTTATACAAAATCAAACTTGGAATGAGAACACCATTTTGAATGTTAACAACAAAAATGCATTTGACCCATGCCAAGGTAAGAAATAAAATTCAAGTCATCATATTCTTTTGATTAAAACAGAAGTTTTATCATCTATACAACTTATTTGCGTTCATCAACTTTTTTTCTGAAAGACATAGACCTTCGTATTTTCTTTGTTTTCATTTGAACATGTTTTATTTTGCTAAGAAAAGATGATTGTGAAGATACTTAAACATCTCAATAAAAATATTATATTATTCATGTATGTATAGGTGGCCTTTATCCTAATGATGACAAATGTGTTGCGTACAAATATGGACCTGATCCTATTCAAGTTATTGACTGTCATCTTCCAAAAGGCCCTTATGCTTCTATTGTAGTACTTCTCATTCATGGTGGCTTCTGGAAGAGTATATACAACCGTTCAATTGAAGACGCCGTAGGCAATGATCTTCTTCGGTTTAAGATTGTTGTCTGTAATTTGGACTATCGTTCTATTGGAAATGGAGGTGATTATCCGAATACATTCTATGATGTGGCCAATGGTACTGATCTTATTCGAACAATTGCTAAAGAACATGATTTCAACAGTAATCGAGTAATTGTCGTCGGTCACTCAGCTGGTGGACAATTGGGAGGATACATGACAGGACGCTTCAGACTAATTCCAAACCAACCTGGATATAGTACGAATCCTCTTCGTCCTATAGCTTTTGTCAGTCAAGCAGGCGTGAATAACATGTGGGATGGTGCCGATCAGGCTAATGAAACAGGTTCTGATGCAGTAATCTCGTTTCTTGGTGGAACGTATCAAATGTATCCCAGAACGATATCTGTTATCATCATTGGCAGCTTCGAGCAATCTTTCAGTCGAGTTTGTATAAATCTCTATGATTACTTAATAATGAAAATTCTTGTAAAGAATAGATTCAGTCTTAACAGAATTTCGAAAAAAAGAACTAATTAAATGAAATTATTCAATAGAGAAAGAGTCGACAGCTAATTTCTTTTTCACTTCTCTCATATAGAAATGAAATTTCTATGAGCTTGATATGTTCTGAAAAAAAAAGATCTTTCATATAAATATTTTCTAAAAAAATTTCAAAGACAACAAGACTTGTTATAACAGTTCCGATTTTATTTACGTAGTTTTCTATAAAATCACAGAAAAAAGAAAATAATTTTTATGAATCTAACACTGATTTTATATATTTAGAGCAAAATATCCAAGCCAATATCTACCATTAGAAGTGCCAATACAAGCTATAACTGGATCAGTAGATATCACTGTACCTATCAGTCAGACAATAACTTTTGCTGAACAAGCCAAAAGTGCTGGTGATAACTGTACCAGAGTGATTGTTGAAGGTGAAGATCATTTTGTTCATTTGAATATTTCTTCGAAGTCTTGGAATAGAACACTGACTTTTATCTTATCTTTCCTTCCCTGAGCAACAAATCAATCACAAATTATGGTGATAGACTCTTGAAATGTTTCTTTGTTTATGAGTTTTTTTTTCAGAAATAATTGTACGTTCTGTGGAAAAAATAAACTCAATGGAATACGACATAACAAACATCAATTTAAATTTTAGATCGATGTAGATTTAGATTATTATTTTACGAAAATGAAGATAAAAATGTAGAGTATCGAAGTAGTTTTCATTGTTTGAGTATACAATGTTCAAATATCTTATCAACACAAATAACGAACAAAAACTGGGAGAGAAAAAAGAAATAATCAAATTGAAGAATCAGTCCTATCTTAGATAAAGAGTTTTTGTCACTAATGTATTTGAGTATATTCGTTTTATGAATATTTAATTTGATCGTATCATGAAATATTCTAATCAATATTGAAATTGAATATAACTAACACATCATTCAATCATCTAGTTGTCATAGGTACAGTTCAACTGTAGATTTACGATTGCAATATAAAAAAGAATAGATCGTCGTGGTTTTGAATTAGTTTCAATTCAGAGACAAATGAATTCTCATTAACTTATCTAATGAAATTCTTCGCCTAAAGTGAAAAAATAGTGTTTAAACAAAGTGATGCGTCCATGAAAACACGTTCCAACTACTTAAAAACATTTAATTGTTGAACGAGTTTTACTCAGTTAAATGGATAAGGGTGTGAATGTTTGCGATCGTTGAAAGGTGGTTTTTGAGACATATCAAATAGTTTTGATAGTTCGGATGGGCAAGAGCTCTCCTTTAAGTTCCAACTATACCTATACCAACACTCAAGCCCATTCATAGCTCCCAGCAACACACGCTCAGGTTAACCCACATCCACATATCTGCACCCTGAAGACTGAATAAATTCCTCTTTATCTTTTAGCTTTCTTCCAATAAAATTTTTTGTATAATGTTCATCAGTAACATCTAGACTAGCATAAAAAAGGCATGATGTTGTACATAGAGGTGTAAGCCGAGCGGCTGAGCCGCCGCCTCCGATGTGATACAAAATTCAAAACTCTTTCAGCCGCCGCCGACAATGAAAAATAATTATTCTAAACTCAGCCGCCCCGCCGATTTATACAAATAAATACTATTTTTGGAAGTTTTCGGCACGCATTGTCAGTTTCTAGGGATCTTCTATTGCAGTTTCTTATCAGTATGCCCTCTAGCGTCATTTTCTCCTGGTCTATTCGAAAGTTTTTCGAAACCAAGAAAATTTTCGAAGAAAATCTTCAAAAATCTGCAGCCACCGACAGGCAGAAACAAATTCGAAATCTCCAGCCGCCGCCGCCGACCAGTCCCTCGGCTTACACCTCTAGTTGTACATGAGTTATAAAATAGAATATGTCTAACGTGTGCCAAGATCACAATAGTAAAACCTTACAAATAAAATGCATCAAATCCTATTGATTCCTTATATTGTTATCGCAAAAGTGTGACTATTTGTCTTAGGATCATAAAGCAGAAACACGAAAATAAGATTTAAAGAGTGTCTATCTATGAAAATTATTAAAATAAACGAAAGAAAACCACAATGAGTTTTTCATTTCATTATCATAGGAGATCATCATCGTACTGCTATAAAAAGTAAATACATAACGGTTTACTATTTAGTTGGTTTTTTTATTCACACCCTATGTCTGGCCTCGTAGTTGCCCTATATTTCCTATATTTTTTAAGTCGGTCCTATAATGTCCTATTTTTTAGTGATTTATCCTATATTCCTATATTTTCCGGAAATTGAAGTATTTTTTGATAAAAGCCGTGTCTTCTCGAAAATAGCGATTTGTGCTGCGCTTTTAATATTCTCAATATGATATATAAGAAAATGTGTAGATATTAGCGGTGTATACGGCGTGCCGAAATTAGGGTGTGGGTGTGGGTGTATATAACGAGTAGATCGACACCCACACCCATACCCACACCCAAAGAATCATGATAAAGCTAAATCAAAAGAAAAACCTTCAACATCAGATGAACGAACATTCTCGATGCTTTCATGTTAGTTACAACTTGAAGGAAAATATCAGAAGGTCTTCTATAGTTTCTATGACAATGATCAATTTTTATAATATTTGCGAAGACAAATTCTAAGTTGAACTCCTTTCATTTACACGATGAGTTTATTCTAGCTTTTTCTTACTTGAACAGTTCCAAAAAAACAGCAGTGTACGGCGTTTGGGGTGTGCATCGGTGTTGATATTAGAAAATCATAAGAGGGCTAACACCCACATTCTCAACAGTTAAGGAGCATTTCCACTTCATCATTTCACTTTTTTTTGATACGATGGGAATCTTTCCTTTTTTGATCGTCATATTTTCTATGTTTTTTATGTTATTCCAGCATTGTTCAACGCTTCAAACATATGAGTTTAGTTATTATAATAAAAAATATTGAGTATAACCTAAAATCAAACCATTTCGGTGCTTATGTTTGTACCTTCATATTTATGTATTCTCAGTGTTAGTCTTCGATTACATCATCTTTATTCTAATTCTCTAAATGAAGATTTGTTGTGACGTCATATCTCCGTATATTATTATGGTTATAATCTCTTCTTGTTAGAATAAGACAAAAGCTAAAACTTAAGAAAAAGTGAGAATTGGACTATTTTCTGTTTTTTGTTGATCGTTACTCCAACGAATTAAATTTCACCAGTATATATGATATGGCTTATAGTTACATGATCTTTATTTTCCTCCTTGATAATTCGTTTTGTACAAAAAAAAACAACAAATGTTTAGCATTTTCTAAATTAATAACTTTTATTTGACATCTCGTTGATGATGATTGGTATCATATAGCAAACAATTTAAAAAATCTTTTGAAACATTATAAAAAATATATACGACACAGTTGAATTAATAATAACAAATGAATTGGATACTAACTTCAAAAAACATCAAAGATGAATATCGATACTTTTAGCAGAGATGGTTTTGATCTGAATCAAAATTTTCTAAGTTGCTTGTTGAAACTGTACAATCTATAACAAATGTTAAAAATCGTAACATTTAAAATACATGATCATCATTAACATAGAATTGATTTTTTTTTCGATAAAATGAATCTATGTTGTTTTTAACAATGATCTGAATTTTATATACAGAACTCGATACTAAAGAAAACGAATTATATTTTGGGTGTGGATGTGGGTGTGGTCATTACTCTTTCTTGAATAAGTACCACAACCTTTTATTATCACACGAACTGTTAATATTTTCGGTACAACTATTATACACTTTAAGAAATTTAATAATTACTTTCTAATACACCAGATGAGATTCGAAATGCCATTAACAAATAGATAAACTTTCAATAAAACGACAAAAGAAACTATCATTTTGTCGTCTTATCTAAAATAGTATGTATAAAATTCGTGCATCGATTGATATTTTATAAAATAAATTTTTATTTAACTAAATTAAATTATCAACACTTTACGATCATCACAAACCAATGGATGATCAAACTTGAAGTATTCCATTTTCAAAAATGTGATAGCTTTCAATTTTTCTTTGAGATTCGTAATGTGCCCTAATTCAAACATTAGCAAAGCGCATTTGAGCACGAGTGTTCATTGAAACACATTTTATAGGAAACAATAAACCAAACCCTTTTATATCTCAGGTGCATTTGATTATTATCATTAATTCAAACGCGTCTCATCTGCATTTGGTCTTCATATGAGTAAACATGTTTTAGTATCTCGAAAAATACTTTCAATTGTAATAATTAATCGTGTTATAATCACATTTGATATTGTTAAAATAATAGATAATTTTCAATTTTTTGTATCTGATAAACTTCTATAAATAGATGAAATAAAACAAGCGATTATTTTAAAAGATTATTTTCCATAAAAAATATCATTGGAAACTTTCTTTTGGAATGGTTACTCGTGATTTATTATAATCGATTTCAGAACAAAATTTTTCATTCGCATGAAGAAGACAAACAATTGAATTGATTACGCAAAGAAAAATATTAAATAAACACAAATATACAAAACAAATTGGTAAAACTACATGAATCTAACTCAATGATGACATTTCAATCATTATTTAAGTAAAAAAAACTCTACTATTACTGCTTTTTCAAGTTTTAGTCATTTGTTTGTTGAACGAAAGGTGAAACAATAGATTCCATTTGATCAAAGAATTTACGAATAATAATAGAACGTGGACCATTGTCAAATTTCTCTTTTAGTTAAAATTATATTGACTACGTAAACTATCATGTAAGAAAACAAATTTCTTCAAAGATGATGTTAATGTACTTGAAGTACTAATATTCAAACGTTTTTTAACAATGATTCGTGCACATAAACATTTGAGACGATCAGGAGTTGAATTTGTTGTACACAACGCTTTGAAATCTTTATCATATACATAATCTAATGGAATTCTTCCATCTTTATCTACACAGTCCATATGACATCCAAAATTCAAAAGTAATTTAATGATCTTTAGATCTCTATTTCTTTTGCATATGATATGAAGTGGTGTATTACCAAAAGAAGATTCTATTGCATCTAAATCAAGCCAACGAATTCCACAAGTCAATAATAATCGAAGTCCAGATTCATTTGGAAATCTACAAAAACAAAATTCTTCATAAATCTATTAGAAACATGAAAATCTCACACTTACTTTATATGAGTAATTGTATCTCTAGAACGAAAATTGAGACGAAAATTAGTATTCTTATCAACACAAAGATGAACTAAAGTTTGCCCGTCTTGAATAGTCAGTCGATGACGACATAAATCTCTTATCCAAGAATAAATCAATATTTGTTCTTCTTTAGTTATTTCTTTTTGTTCAAGAATCTAAATAAATTATATATAAACTAAATACAAAAACGTAAAATAATTACTTTAGTTGCTATAATCACAAGGAAAAGTGCATTACATATAGTCAAATCCATATATATACGTTCTGTGAATTCGAATGTTAAATAGCAGACTTGTATAAAACGATGAATGGATATTATTCGATTTTCAGTAAGCATTTTGCAGAATAACCAAACAAATCGTGCTAGATTGGTATTCGTACCCATTTGTTGATAAGAATTGAAACTATAAATGTATACATTAAGACATTTATCAAATTCTTTCTTGTATGCAAGTTGATCGCCATAATCATTTAGTGGTTCCATTACTGTTATATTCTTTTCAGATGAATAAATACGTTCTCGAATAAGTAATGTTTCGATAAAAATTCGATTACGATCATCTTTGATACGATCAAGTTCTTCAATAGTTTGACATTCTTGTTGATAATCGTAGATATCATTTGGTTGTATGGAAATTTTTGATATTTGTAATAATTGTCGTTGTTGAAGAGCAGCTCTTAAGACATCGACTACTACATTCATTTGTTCAATAGAAGATGAAATATTAAATAAAGAACAAGCAGCAAATTCAAGATCGTCTACAGTATTATTGATCGATTGTTTGAGTAGAAACTTAACAATTGAATAATGCATATTTTTAGCAGCTGTCATGAGTAAAGTATCTCCTGTATCATGTCTAATATTAATGTTTGCACTGGCATTATAGAGTAGTTGAAGTGTATCTAAATGACCACAAGACGTGGCACACATAACTGCTGTTGAACCTCTAAAAGTTTTGTTCCGATCAGAATAATTAACATTAGCACCACTTTCTATCAAATATTTGACGAGAGATGTATAACCTCGAAATGCAGCCAATATCAATGCAGTAGATTCATTATAATCATTAGATTTCGTTTCGTTCACATCTGCATATTTGTTTTCCAAAAGAAAATGAACTATATCTTGACGATTCATTATCGTAGCATGAATAAAAAGTGGATAATACACATAATCAAGCGTATGCTGTTTAACATTAGCTTGACCAAGTTCTATTAGAGTTTTGGCTACAGTAAAATGTCCTCGATAACATGCACAATAAAGTGCTGTTACACCTTTGATAAGCTTTGCATCATAAAGAATTACTTCTTTTAATTCAATCTGACTTGTTGAATTACAATGAGTTAAAAGTACGCGAACAATCTCATCATAGCCATTGAGAGCTGCAACCATCAATAAACTTAATTGTTCTTGACCATGCCAAGTTAATGTTGTCAAGTACTCGATGGAATTTGGAAGTTCATGTAATCGAGTATCTAATTGAGAATATAAACCATTTCGAACAAATTCGTAGAGCTGTTCAGGAACATATTCATCAGCATAAAGAAAATCGAGAGAAAAGATTTCATCCATTATGTAAATAAGAATAATAAAATAGATAACTGCTTAGCAATTGCCTTTTATCTATATCTATATATATATATGTCATATCGAAGTTACATCGACCGTCAAAGTTGCATCTTCAACGGCCGAGGTAACTTCAATATGACATATATATTCGAGAGAGAGAATCAAATAAATATAATATATCGATGAATAATGTTTAATTATAGTATTCACAATAAATACGAAACAAAGACTAGTCTCATATCTAGTCTTGACGAAATGTTCTAGTATTTGAGTTTTTTTCAAAACGGCCTACTACATGACTAGTTCGGAATCGTTTGAAATGTTTAGGATCCGTCAGAAATAGGTTTAAAATTAAAAAAGGAAGAGTGTCAGTGACATGACATCTATCAGGTTCTAGTCCTATGTAGCAATCTAGTCTAATGATAGAAATATGTGCAGAAAGTAAAATTTGAACATGCATACCATATGTTACTTATCGTGATTAACTTCGACATGTCAATACATATTCTAAGATGCTAATTGATACAGTTTGACTGAACATTTTCTCAAGTTTTAGTGTTAATAAAAAAAAAATACTTATTACAAAATCGAAAATAATTTAGAACTTTTTAAAATTTTCTTCAAAAGAAAAATTTTTTTTTTTTCATCATTAACATTTGAGAAATATTATTTTCTATTTGAAATTAAACTATAATTCTACGGTTTAAAACTATTTTTAACTTCAAATCACCAGATTTTATATTCAATTATTATTATTATTATAACCTAAAAATTTAAAGCATATACATTGGCTACTCTCGTTAGATACATCGTTCTGTCACGATACGATCAAGTTTTAACGAGTTATTCAAGTAATTAAGTTTAAGCAATGAGACTGTTTGAAGAGTCTTCACTAGTACAAATAATTTTTCATACTAGTCCGCATTATTATTGAAAACAATCTAGACTAGTCAAATATTCAATGACGCATCTGATCAGTATGAACATACAAAACGGACTAGTCGTCATAGGGTGAGAGCATGTTTTGAACTAGTCTATATTAGATTACAAGACGTTGCTCGTCAAGACAATAAGTCATTTCAGACGAGACTAGACAATAGTGCAGACATGTTACACTAATCATGTTGGGCGTCTTCTCTTAGTTTTTGCTTACCTGAGACTGTATTTTTTATTTAACTACAGTAAAAACGACGGAAAACTTATGGAACTTTCATTTCTCATTTAATCTGTTTCTTTTGTTATTTATCTATTAACGAATTCAAAACCGAATATTTTTGATAAAGTTTATATCTCTATTAATAGCATACATAATAAATGAGATCACAACCATGATCAAATCATGAATTTCTGTTCGTTTTTCAACGATGATGCGGAGAATTGTCAATTGATCAAATCGTGGCAAGTCGCATAATAAGCGCTCAATATAGATGAAGATGTTGAATATTAGAAAATCACATGTGCACAAATGCTAAGTTAATCAAAGGCGGTTCATTATCATCGTAAACATTATTTTCATGATAATATAAGAGCAAAAATTATCTTCCGATGAACATTTAGACTTGGTACGAGTAGTGAAACTCGATGACTGAATAACAAAATAATCCAAAAAATCAAGTACAGTGTCGAAAAAGATGAAAGTGTTCATGTTCTCTGGTGTCTATTGACACCGAACGAACCATCGACGATTCATAAGCCAATATGAAATGCAATACGAATCATGTGAACACACAATTGCTTTTTCCTTATCATCACAATCATTTAGTGTTCTCAATGTTAAGATAGATTGAAAAGGAGATTTCAATTGTTTTTTATCGTTATCACCAGTCAGATAAGCATATAGGAAGTGAATATTCGGTGTACATCGAAATAGGTAAACGAATTACTAGTTCATACATCATTTGAAATTTTGAACTGATACGTGTTTAATAGATTCAGATAAACGTATTGGAGTAAAAATTTAGTCATTATTTAGAGAGTTAAAATCTAATAGACAATGAGTAAGTTTTGGTAGTTTCCAAATATATTTAATAATGTCATAATAAATTTAACGAGAGTGAGTAAAGAAACATTGAATAAACTGGGCATAGGTCAAATCAGAAAGATAATGGCATTGAAAGACAACTTTTGTCTATAATTCATTTGAACAGATATAACGAAATGAAAGTGTTTACAAATTGATAAATCGTTGAAGAGTATAGTCATCTAATAGAAATAAATCCATTTGACATGGTGTGGATTTTTATCTTCTTTTTCTCTCTCATCCTCACACTCTATACAAAACATCCACATAAAAAGTAGGATGTAGGTTTAAAAATCAAACTGGTCCACTTAATTCATTATATTTATATCATCATTTAGCACTCTTAGAATGCGGCCATCGGCATCTGTTGATATGCGAAAAATATCGTGAACGTTTTATTTTTTTTTACTATAACGTTTATTCTTGTTAAATATCTGAAGAAAAACTATATCCAAAATAATTTTGTGAAAATTAAATATAAAAGTATATGTCATTGAAAAATAAGGAAACTGATAAAACTATTGTCATATTTATTTCACTAAAAAAAGAGGACTAATGATTAAAAAGAGATCATAATTCATTTCGGAACACTTTCATGTGAAAAGATTTTGATAGCAAGCAACAAAACCTACTTTTTAAACTTACTTATGAAATTATTCGTGTAAAATGGAGTGTGAGGTGAGTGTGTGAATGTGAGTATGAGTCTTCTCTCAGCATTCACCCCCACACTCACACCTTTTCACGCTTCATCTTATAGTGTATTTTGTTTTCTTAATATAATAATCGGAAAAAGGAATTTTTTTTTGTCCCAAGAAGACTACAATCACGCATCACCCATTTTTCTAATAAAAATGTCAAACATATCTAATGTAGATTCGGTTAAATATTCCATATCTCGATTCTTGAAACTTCAACTAATCGGAGTAGTAGTCAGTTTATACATGAAAGATTATTATTAATTGAATAGATATTAAAAAAATTTGTCCTCTTTAATAAAAAAACAATATTTTCAAAAGTCTCAATAAACTTTGTCATTGTAAAATATCAAAATATATGATTCATATGACTAATGTTATCTATCAAAAAAAATATTTGCATGTTGTTTATCAATGATGCATTATCTTGTTTCACTTCTACTATTCGAGCTCTTTATATATTCAGGTAGCTTTATTCATCTTAACTCAAAAATTCTCTGGACAAACTCGAATCAATTATGCTATTTCATTTATTCACTATTTTCGCACTATCTACTTCAGTGTCATATGGTTTCACATGTTGTTCGTTTGGAAAAACATACAATTATACAGTTACGGCTGACACGATTCCAGCAGAACTATGTTCTTGTCATGTTATACAAGAATATGCACTGTGCCGAATAGGTGTAACATGGTACTTGCATCGGAATCAAACTGAAGTTAGTATGACTCAATACGAAACCAGAAACCAATCGTTATTATTAACAACTTTGCTTACTGTTAATGCTCATGTGGAAGGACGTTCAACTGCAGCAAATCAACAAGTACGATATCGATTAGAATATTTTTGCTCAACTGAAAACTGTAATAACGGAAGCGCATTCCAACGTATATTAAAATCCGTGACAATGACTGATCAATTTGATGTTTTCGAAAACATATTACCGCGGAATGGTACTTATTTTGGTCGTTTATGTTTACTTTTTTCAAATCAAACTACTCAATATTGTCGTAATCCTATTCCAGACAAACCAGATGAATGTACACAATGTAACGCACAATATTTATACACAAAAAATACAACCAAAATTTGTGCAACATGTGTTACACAAGGTTATTACAATCCAATTATAGAACGTGAAGTTTTATTTAATATAACTGATCGAACACGTTCTGAGACGATAGAGATTAGATGCGGAACAGATAATTGTACTGCATTTCAAACTGGACATGAGATTCGTGCAATAAGTACAATTGAGTTGGATTTCGATAAGTTTTTAGCTCCATACTCAGGTGGCAAACAAATGATGATATCATCTTTTCATCAAATTATTTTTATGATCATGCTTTGGTCATTAAACAATTTTTTCGATTAAGATTTTTGACAAAAACTGAGTAATTTAACTGCTAACGAGGGAATATACATTTAGATGTTCACATCATTTTAGTCTCATCTTTCAATCATAATTAGATCCTTATATGAGACAGGAATAATTTCAAAAGGAATCATTTCTTCGTACTTATGTTCCTAGAATATCAATTTTACTCATGAAGCCAAAGATTTTCAGAAAAATTGTATTATCAAACTTAGCTCTGAAACTTTCCTCATACCAGATCAGTTTGTGTTCAATATTTCAGATCTTTCAAAATATCCGTATGGGTGTGGATATGCTTGCCAAGTGAATTAAAATACGAAAAACTCCGACACCCACATTCTCGATTAAAATAAGATTTCTAGTAATCTCCTAGTTCATATTTTGAATATTATGAAATAAATAGTTAAAATTTATTTATGAAAAACGTATCCAAACACAAATCTTTACCATTTAAAAAGTCTTGATAAGACTGTAAATAACTTCAAAAGATTCGTGATCAAGAGCCTCTAGAACCATATTATGATTCATAATTCGATGCTCACGGATTTATTGATAATTTCTCTAGTCTTACTAAGATATTCTTATAAGTGAAATACTTTCTCGAATCACGATTAATAATCAGTTAGTTCTTTCAAAAAGAATTATCTTATGTAATTGTTTATTGATTTATGTTAAAAGAATAAAAATTAAAATTGGAATCAGAAATATGCGAGAAAAAGAAGCAAATTTAGATTGTAGGAATTTGTATCCGTGAATAAAATTTACATCGATGAATGTTAGACAACTACATCAATGCTAAGACTTGACTGATATTAAATCAAAAATGAGTATCTGACGGATGACAATCTGATCTATTAACAGCACTTGGTTAAAAATCAGCTGCATATTGACATTGAAAACTAGTTTTAGTATTAACACATATTTGTGAACAATAATTTAAAGTAACATATTCACATACATTTAATATCTTCACATTTAAATATTTCTTTATTATATTTATAAGTTGTATTACACGAACAAGCAATTCCTCGTCCATTTGGTAAATCATGACACATCTTTAATCACAATGATTTATATTATGATGACATGATAATTCATCGGATTCATTACCACAATCATCAACTAAATAATTAAATTAAAAAATAAATAAATAAATGAGAAAACATTGATTATTCGTCTTCATTTACATTCATCACATAAATCTGAATATCTTATACAACAATTTCTATGAGTACAATGAAATTCTGTATGATTCATATGAAAAACACAATGTAACTGCTATTGATTGAACTCGTTTCGAAATGATAATTTAGAGAAAAATTTTCTTATTTTAATTGATTTTTTGAATCAATCATACATAGAATTCAAAAATTGACTCTTATAAATCTTTCATTCAAGATCAATGAATCATTTTTTACATTTCATTGCATGAATACTGTTAGACATTAGAAAATACTGAACTAATTGAATTTCAATACAGTGTTAAGGATATAAACAATATCTACACTGGATAGTAAGTAAGAAAACGGCAGTAGATCTTAACTTTATTCAAACAAAAACTTATACCATAACTGACAACCTAAGAGCCTAATTAGAAGTAAACCAAGCCTGAAGAAATTAAGTTGTGACAAATCAATTGAATGAATTATAATGAGACGTTATTGACATGCAATCTATGGATGGGTCATAATTTTTACTTCTTTACCTCAACATTCTTTTTTACATCGTGTTTAAAAAAAGATATTTTTGTTCTATAAACTTAAAATAAAAATAATCACAATATCGGAAATGATAGATGGAATTACATGGTACTGTTCGATATAATTCCATTGTTTCATTCCTAAATAAAAAACAAAAAATCATAAAATATGACGATATTCTTTGATTTCTTCATCAAATACCTACTATCAAGGCAATCATTATCTAAAAATAAAAGTATTTTTATCATGATTCAATACGAAAAATATTACTAATAAAACATTCTACATCCATCACAAACACAGCACTTATTAATACAAAGAGTATTATAGACATTGAGTATAATCGCTCCAATGACTTATATTACTCACATAATGAACAGATGCACATGTAAAATATCCACTAAGACATAGTTGAAAATTATTTACCACAATCACCAAATTCATCGGATACGTCATCTTCACTACAATCATAATCATAATCGCATATCGAGATATTACAAAAGAAAAATATTTATGTTAATTTTCGAATTCTATTGAATATTATTTTCCAACCATCGTTGTAGAATACATCGATTGGAAACAAATTTTAAAAGCTTTTTTTTCTCGTTACTCACTACATGTTCCTGGAGTTTCATTTGATCCATCGCGACAATCATTTCGATGATTACTTAATAAATAATAAATATAAACTATGAGTCATCATTATTAAACGAAATTTTTTGAACAATTATTTAAAATTAATCTTTCAAAAGCGATGTATGTACTGAGCTACATATTTTAACAACTCAAAGACAAATGTGAATCTGATGTTCAATCTCAAAGTTTCTTTCTTTCACTTGTTTTATCAAAAAAATCAAAAGAAATATAAAATTCAAGGAAAAGAAAAAAATATATTTAAATAACATATCCTATAAGGGCGAAATCAGCCAGCAGTCAACCATCTATAAGGAAGGTTTCACTACCGATTAATAAAAAATTGCGTTTCTACGATTGAAAGTATATTTTCAACAGAATATCAAACATGTTCAGGGCTATGAGATATATTTTATAAGAATGATAAAAATTCCTTTTTTCTTCGATTATATATCTAAAAGAGAGAATAGTTCACTAATTTTAACAAAAATTATATTGTCTGAAAAATAGACAACATTTCTGTTGTAAGAGTAAGACTCCATTGTTTAAATGATAGAACTCTCTTGATATTACTTGCGCATTAGAGAGAAGATGAATTTTTACTATGATCATTGAAAATTTCATATTCCTAAATCTTCCCCATTAGAATAGCAAAAGAAGATGAAATTTCGTAACGAACAGTATTTTTTGATTTTCTATTCAATACAAATGCTCATGTGAAGAAATGACCTAATGTTGTGAAAGATTATTCAAAGTTGAATAATTTTTAGACAGAATGTTTATTTCTTTTTTGTTGAGTTTCTTAGTAAAGCATTACACTTTCAGTACACCCTAAAAAAAATTTCCGTAACAGTCGATATTCTTTTAAATAACTCTGCTCTCGTCAAACAAGTATCATTGATATTTATATCGATAGTACATCTAAATAGTTTCTATGTATGATGAAAATTTTAGAGACTTTACATTTATTTTTGAGAAGATATAGATGTTGCAATTTAAAAATTTAAAATTTCGTAACGCTGATTTTGCCCATAACCAAACTTCTTTTTTTTTACTATTAAAGTAACAAATACTCTACTGATTGTGATATTTATCATCGAGAACTTCTTGGAATACATTGTCCATTATTACATTGAAAATGATTTGTATCATTACATGGTGGATATTACTTTGGATTTTCATTACTATTATCACCACAATCATTATCTAAATCGCATTCATATGATGCTCATTTACATCGACCATTATTACATGTAAATTGATAATGAGTACATGTACGATTATCACAATTTAATTCATTGGTAAACATGGATCAGTATAACAACGATATTCATAATTTTCTTCATCTAAAATATTCAAATCAATTTTATGCTTTTATTTCTACCTGAATTATCTTCACAATTATCGATTCCTAAAACAAAAACGATAACTCTTCTCTCCCGATCACAAATAAATGATATTGATGTACAATTTTGATTTCGACATTGAAATTGTATTGATACATATCATCGTTGTAGACATGTATTTCCTTCATCAGATTCATCTTCACAATCATTAACTAAACAAATCAAAAAGAATTTTTTCTTCGTGTACAAAAATAAAAGACCGATCGATACCTACCATTCATTACATTTAGCTGACTATGGTATACATCGTTTATTTAGTGGACTCCAATGATGTTGATTACAACTACAATTTGATACACATGTTCGATTATTTTTATTATTCATAAATGAAAAATGTTCAGAATATGTGTATATATATGATTGATTGACTATTAATAAACATAAATGTGAACAATCACCATTATTTAATTGACATGGATTTTGAAACTTTAAATTAACAAAAAAGAAAATAAATACGAATATGTGCGACTATTATGGTTTTTTTTCTTACCTTGTGGTTGTATTAATGGATGAATAATAGTAAAAACTACGAATTCATTGATTGTATTTGGTAAAAGTAAATATTTATTTGAATCATTCAATACATTAGCACGAATTAATGAATGATTTGTAAAATTAGACCATATAACAGAAATCCTACACGGAGTGAATATGAAGCATAATCATGAATCTATATAAAATTAATTAGCTAGTATTGAAATCAAACAAAAAAAAAGATTTTTATTTTTCTTGTTTCAAAATAATTAGAAAGTTATCATATTCAAAACTTATTTGTAATATTTATGAAAACAAATATTCATCTAGTTTAACAACAAAAAAATTGTACTTATAAATAAACTCTATATAATCTTCTGATCGAATTACAAGGTTTCTTGCAACTTCTAAGATCCGTAGTTATACTCAAATAGTTATCATCAAACAAATGATAGCTATTAAGAACATTGTAGTCTTGACTTTTCATGTCAATAAAAATATGAATTGTAGTTATTCCTAGTAATGATGAATATATGATATCAAGAGATATATTTTTTATACGAGAAGAATGCCTGACCGCAGACTTATTTAATAAGTGAATAATGAACAAATTTGTTGCAGCTCGATAAATATTTTCAAAAATAATTTGAATATAATTCATTTTTAACAAATATATATTCTTGCTTTATCTATCAAAACAAAAGCAGAAGAATAATACATTTGAAGTTACTTACGATACAGCTGTGATAAAAATGTTTTCTTCTAAACACATCTGTATAATGTTAGATTTAGCTTCTTCATTTCAAAATAGAAATGTAAATCAAAATTTTTTGTCTTTATGTAAAGTTTCAAATCGAAAATTAATTATTTTAATTTTCTCCAGGAGATTATTTAATTACTATAATCTACAAAATACAAATTGTTTTTCCATCTCGATTTTAAAAGCAATGAATGAGTTAAAGTACTTCTTTCCTAAAAAATATAAAATTCAGCCAGAGTTGAAAATTCTATCAATAATTCCATGGAATATTGAACATCAATATTTGATCCTTCACTCTATCTTTAATATTAATACATCATAAGTTTTTATACTATGAAAAATAAGAATATATATTTTTTAAAAACATATAAACACACTCCAATCTTTGTTAAACGTCAATCAATCCAAAAAATTATTTGTGTAATAATATTAATTGTTAAATCTAATAGTCCAGCTACATCAGTACCAATAACTTTAACAAAATTATTTCCCTTTTAATTCATTTTTTCAATATATGCTTATCACCAATCGGAAAAAAATAAATAACAAGCTAATGAATCAAGTTATGTTATAGTATAACGACCATCTAATTCACTAATACGAATTTCAGATATAATTATTAATTGATATAATTTCCATTTAAACCAATTAATAGCTAATGTACGTATAGAACTTATTTGATTATCTTCTACTATAACTATTGATTGTGTTTTATTGAAATTCATTCGATGAATTTTATCAGTTAATCTATCACCAATATATAGCGTTTTATCTTTCCAATCATATTCTATGCTTGATAACTCCATAAAATCATGTGCAAAGGTTAATTCATTTCGTTCATCAAGACTAATAGCTGAAACATAATATTTATTTTTATAATAAACATATGATACAATAGTTCCTAAATATCATAGATATAAGTTTTGTTTCTTTTCTGGTACAAAAAATAAGAACATACGATTGAATTGATTATAGCTACGTCCATTCAGACTTTTTTCATAACCAGGTGTATATTTACATGTATATGACCATAGTAATGCGAAAGAAAAAAAAAGAATTCAAGAAGATATATTATATGAAATATGTTATATTTGATATATTTTCACAAAATTATTTACAGACACTTGAAGTTTCAACACATTCATTGATATTTAAATATCAATTAAATATTAGAAGTTTCTATTTTAAAAAGTTATTTTTTTTATTCTATTTTTTTTTTTGAAAGATATATAAATCAAACTACAATGTAAGATTTCATCTAGATGTGAAAGAGAAAAGTATCATCTGTTCGAAACAAAATTTTCTCTTCTATGAAATTTAAATGAAATCAATAAATATCATACAAGTCGACTTTCAATACTTCTCTCAATCAGATCGATGAACAGCGACAGGATTTGAATTCCTATCATCTACTGATCACATTCAATCTCAATCGTTCTTTCTAATCTCCGACCATATATTCATATGATATAATTCATAAAATATTCAGAAGACTTCGACCGAAACAAATATTCTTTTTGTTAAGATATCAAATTTTAAAAATAATTTGAAAACAAAAAATTTCTTTTCTACTAATCAGTTGTCTTTTTGATTTTACAGTAAAAATGTCAAGATTCATTGAGAAAGAATTCTTTTAGATTTTTTCTAGTCTGATAAAGGCATTCTTATATTTTACATGTTTCTACTAAATCTAATCGAAATTATCAAACTTGAAAAAAATAGAAAATGAAGATGTTTTCTTTTATAAATTCTTACTACAACTAGATGTTTCATCACTTCCATCCGTACAATTTCAGAAACTATTACAAACAACTTCATATGACTATATATTCTTTATTTCAACATTGAAATTATCTTAATTGACATAATGATGATTTTTTATCTGAATTATTATGACAATCATTAATAAACAAAAAAGAAAAATAATTGTTTTTTATAATAAAATATCAATATATTGCTGTTTTCATTATACATCTTTCATTTTCACATCGATATTCTATATTAGTACAATTTCGATATTTTGACATTATATTCAAACAATAAAATTTAAAATAAAAATTAATCGAAATTATTTCTTACCACATGATACAAGTTCATCTGATCCATCTCCTATAAAAGAAATCATTTCAAATTTATTTTAAATAAATAACATCAACAAACCATAATCATTGTCACAATCTGAAAACTAAAGAAAATTGAATTACACTACAGAAACATTTAAAAAGATTATTACTTACCATAAACATACGAATGTGATACATAAAAATCATTATCACATTGAATTACAAAGCATTTCAGTTATGAAGAAAATCGAATTAATCATGTTTTCTATAAAAATTATTAAATATAATATAAGCCATAATTATATCGCTCATCTTCATCACTTTCATTTCAATATAAAATAAAATAAAGAATTATTTTTTTTAGAATAGTTTCTGAAATTGTACGGATGGAAGTGATGAAACATCTAGTTGTAGTAAGAATTTATAAAAGAANTAATGTTATATAGCATTTTATAACGAAAACACTATCATATTCGTAATCAGCAGTGTTGATTACCTATAAATCGCAAAAATTTTTTTTTAAATAAAAAAAGTTTTTTTTTCAACTCCCGTAGGGGACCACAGTCAATAACTTTTTTGAAAAATTTTTTTTTAACTTGGTAAAAAAACTAGTGTACTATGTGTTCAGGACTTCATGCTGATTCTAACCATATAGTTTTTATTGGAAAAAAATAAGGAATGAAAAATGACCTTACCGCCACTAGCCCTTTGTCACTTAAAAATGTGTTTTGTTTTCAAGAAATTCAGAAGTTTATGACTGGAACAGATGAAGCATATTTTCTACAGTTTATTTTCTTATAACCACCTTGATAGGTATTATTCTAACTGTGTTGATCATTCCAAATTGCTCAAAAACAGAAACACTTTTTTTCATTATTATTTATCGAACCAACGTGGATGACGCCAACTTATCAAAAATTGTTGATCTGGATTCGCTTGCTATCAGTGTGCGTATATACTGCATCCTACTACTATTTATTGTTTCTTTTTTAATAGTTTAATAACCGTCTTGGTTTACCTAATGTAAATGTTAATAAGGCTCAATTTGTACCTGTGACTACAAATGGAGATAGAAAGAAGCGAGAAACAATTAAGAAGTATAGCGAAAATATCGTTATCTTCTTACATTTACTGCTTTTTTTTTATTTCAGTTTGAACCTATGTAAAAAATCAACACACCGATACTGTCGGCGATTTTTTTATTCTTCATCTTTCGACTGAATATCCATTAAATTATACTATGATGGTGCATCAACAACATTTACTCGACAAAACGAAAATCTACAACAGTTCTTCATACAAACAATTCAGTCTTCCAATTAAGTTCATTGATGGACAAACACTTATTGTAAACATGAGCTTCTGTTCATTTGACCAAGTTACGTCATCAAGTATGCATAATACTCTTCAAACAAAAATATACAATGAAAATATATATATCTATCTATATATATATGAAACAGATACAACAGAGAATTTGATAGATAAAAAAAAGTCAACCACTTTATAGTAAAAGATGTGTTTATGAATTTTTCATTCAATGATGAACATAGAAGAATGCACAGAAAGGAATAGACATTACAGAACAGAGCATAAGATACATAAAATAGCTAGAAGCTGACTCTGGTAAAAATATCGAAAAATCTATGTTTTATAGTATCAACACACTCTACTGGTATTCAAAAGCGAAATTCAAATGACATTGCCTTCACTGAAACAAACTCTTCAATATCAAACTTTATACAAAATGAAAATTTCAATGAGGACATCGTTTTGAATGGTAACAACAAAAGTACATTTGGCCCATGCCAAGGTAAGAAATAAAATGTAAGTTGCCACATTCTTTTGGTAACAACAGAATTTTTATTATCTATACAACTTATTTGCATTCATTAGATTTTTTCTGAAAGATATAGACCTTCATATTTTCTTTGCTTTCATTTGAACATGTATCATTTTGCTAAGAAAAGATGATTGTAAAGAGTAAAATTTCTATCTCCAAAAGAAACTATATCATATGATTTTGTGAGATATGCAATCGTAATTGATTTAGGCATTTTGATGTGAATATCGAGTATTTCACTTCTTTTCTAAATAAATATCATAGCTAATTTGAGTGAGATACTTAAAAATCTTAATAAAAACATTATATTTATTCATATATATAGGTGGTCTTTATTCTAATGATGACAAATGTGTTTCGTACACATATGGGCCTGATCCTATTCAAGTTATTGACTGTCATCTTCCAAAAGGTCCTTTTGCTCCAACTGTAGTACTTCTCATTCACGGTGGTTTCTGGAGCGGTAAAATCAACCGTTCAATTTAAGACGCCATAGGCAATGATCTTCTTCGGTTTAAGATTGTTGTCTGTAATTTGGACTATCGTTCTATTGGAAATGAAGGTATTTATCCGAATACATTCTATGATGCAGCCAATGGTACTGATCTGATTCGAACAATTGCTCACGAACATGGTTTCAACAGCGATCGAGTAATCGTCGTCGGTCATTCAGCTGGTGGACAGTTGGGAGGCTACATAACAGGACGCTTCAGACTAAGGCCAGACCAACCTGGATATAGCACAGATCCTTTTCGCCCAATAGCTTTTGTTAGTCAAGCGAGTGTTAATAATAGGTGGGATGGATGCGATCAAGCTAACGAAACAGGTTCTGGTGCAGTAATCTCGTTTCTTGGTGGAACGTATCAAATGTATCCAGAACGATATCTGTTATCATCATTGGCGGCTTCGAGCAATGTTTCAGTCAAGTTTGTATAAANAGGGAAGGCAAGAATAAAATTTCCAGCTATCGAAATCAAGAGTATTGTTCTTTGCAACATGTACAACTTGGTCATTATCATAAGCTATTTCATTCAAATCTAATATTAAGTTTAGACACAAAAGTCTACAGAAAAATATTCGTTGTTCAACAGATCAATAAAAAGTATCAATTAATCTTTGGCATGTTCTTTGACTGTAGAAGACTTTTTTTCATTGTCAATTCTCTACTAGAATGTTATACAGTGCAATCTTCTCAAATCTCTTGCACTTCTTTTAAACTTTTTATCACATTTAGCAGATAATAATGCATGAACATCACAATATATTATTGTTGAATATTCAATGTCATTGATTCAGGTGTAGTTCACTTAATTGTTTGATGAACTGACCATGATGACTGTTTTACCATGGAAGCTGTGCTCATTTCGAATTGTTCTCTTGTCATAGTTCCAATACGATCATTCTAATGATTTTGACGCTACTAAAATAGAATAAATCGTACAAAATCTCGACGATAAGGTGATGTTGAAATGAGATACACATAAATGGTCGATGTATAACTAATGTATAAGATAATATTGTCTATGTCAGAAGTTAATATTTATTGTACTAAACGACAAGATGTTTTCACCATTCATGTTGATAGGATTTGATAGATATTTATCGTCGCAAAAGGTATTATTGGAATAACCACCACAAAGATTTGTAAGAATATCATCGAAGTTAAATTTCGTTGAAATGTATCACGTAGTTGAATACCTTACTTGAAGTAATATTGTGATAAGTGAGCATCAGGTAATATATTGAGAAGAACACGCCGAAGAACATAATTTCCCTAAAAAGAACAAGACTAGCAATAATGAGCGAACACAGAGTGGTTGTATTATCTGTAGAAGTTTTCATTTCAATAATTTTATAGAAAAACCGGTATAGTATATTAATAGCGATAATTACCCAAACGGGGATCGCAATGATGATTTTTGTTGTATTCAATCTACTTCAATTACGCCATGCCGTACTTCGACATGATATTAGAAATCGATCAACAAAAACAAAACAGATGCATGTTAAAGAAGTGAGGATGGTTGCTTATGAAATAAATAGACAACATTTAAATATGAAATTAATCGAGTAGAAAATAAAAGACAAAGATTAATTAAATTTCTGATTATATCAAAACGAAAGATAAATAAACCAGTATAGATACATGATTGTCTATACACAAAATCATGATGTCAAACGTTATTTTTGTCAATACCGAATCTTTCCTAGAAATAACTCATCGTCATTCAACTTTTGAGTTCTTTTTACTTTAGACACAGTGCTCACCCTCACGGGGTTGGGTGTGGGTATCAAGAGAGGGTTCATACCCACACTCATCCACACATCCACACCCCTCCATTTTTGGTTCGTAAAATCTGTTCTTGGAAGCGGCGGTTTTACAATAACAAACGAAATACCAAATAATTGGTTTTTGTAGAAATTGTGTATGTTTCATTTTCGAGATCGTTCATGTTTATTTTATCATCGAAAAAGCAATTTCTTCAAAAGATGAAAGAAAAAGTGAAGAATGAGGAAAAACACTATAATACAATATATTCAGATGACATTATTTATCTTACATGTTTTTAGAAAAAAATCTGTTATGATTTTCTTTATCTTCTTCACAATCATCATCACAAAAAATAATATCATCTTCATTATCCATTTTAAACTTCTTTGTGGTTGTTGCAGTAATAATGAGATGTTCTTGATTCTCATAGGAGATTGTATAGGAGACGGCTGTTCTACCATCTTTCTTTTCGTTTCGGTTGTATCAACTTCATAATTTTGTTTTCCATCAAATGACTTTAACAATAATAATAATTTTTTGTAAAAATAATAATTTGTTTATTTTTTCTGTACCGAGACGAGTACGTTTATCTGTTATTGTATTTTTTGAGCCTAAAAAAAGCCTGTATATGGTTGAACTCGGTGCTGGTACAGCATAAAAGTCTTAAACAATGGAAAATAAAATCGGAAACCTTGATTTCTGTTGTAGCCAAAATGTAATATATTATCGTGTTCATTCATTTGGACATTTAATGCTAAATATTCATTTAACTCATAATATGATGTTGATGTCGATTTTCAATCATTTTGTGGTGTATAGAAACAGTATGAAAGAAGACTTTTCGATATTATCGATTTAGAATTAAGAGCATTTGTATGAATAGATGTTGCTATAGTTGTTGAACTTGTAGTAGATGGTGACGTTGGCTGTCGCTTGATAATTTCCCTTTTAACTAACTCGACAGCTTTTTGTTGCAAACTAGCATCAATATGAAAATTTTTCTTAGAAGGATGGAGAAGGGTAGTGATATAGTGCACATCTTGCAACATCCAAACATTTTGGATGTTTTCTAAACAGAAAAATAAGTCTTTTGAAAACTGAACTATATCGTAAGATAAGCAAGTCAGATTTTTAAACACTTTTGTACACCTTGATGAAATATCATAGTTTCTGCGTGAACATGAAGTCGTTTCTTTTTTCTGTAGGCTATTAATATAGTGTCGTACTGGTTTTCCCTTTCTTCTTGAATTTTTCGCTGTTCGAAGCAGGCAAAGTGAATGGCAAAAACCTTTCAAACTCTGAATTATTACCAAGAAATTTTTTCATTTGTTGTATTCCATCATGATCGTCAAGATAAATGATGCAATGATTCAATAAGTATTATCTCAACGGCAATACTTTATACATTGTTGGTTTTATATCACAACTAAGCTGCTCAATTACTTCTTCAAATAGTTTTAAAAATAAGCAAACCGTTGCTAGTAAATCTTTATCGATCAACATATAATCGTTCAAAAGCGTTCGATCTAAAACACTAATTATTTCATCAAACATAAGTAAAAAACGTATCAATTGTATGGAATGCACCAGTAAACCGTGTGTCGGAATATAATTGAAGTTTTCGAGCTAAATTTGATTGTTTATGTGCTGGCCATATATGAGACATAGTTTTTTCAAATAATGTGTGAAGCAACAAACTCTTGTACATAAATCTTTGAAACTAAATTTCATCTTGTTTTCATTATCACAAACTAGAAATCTTCTATCATCTAATGACAAATGATATTCTATTAATTTTGAATCAACAAATTGTCGAACTTGATTTGAAGTGTGATTATCTCGATCGTATGGATAACAGCGCAGAATAAAAGCATATAATTTTAATTCTTCATCCAAATGGAAAAGTGCAACACCACAAAAGCTAACACATAAAAAAGAAGAGATTTCTATAACAACATCCAGTTCATCCTTTTGAATCTACTCTAAATTTTAAACACTTATGCAAAATTTATCAAACAGCATACTCCTACCTGTATGCGAATCCGATCAAAAGTGGATAATAATTGAACAGGATTTCATATTTTTACACAAATTAATCAGTTTTTTTAATTTTTAACAGTTTTTACTTACAGTTGTTGGATGTGGAAGTAAATTTACAATATTAGCATTTTTTTTATTTGATAAATTTTGCCCAACATCAATTGCAGTTAGTGAAAAATTAATAAATCCAACACCGGAAATGAGTTCACCAGCTGCCTTTGTAATTTTTTCTTTCATTTGTCGTGGAATGGATTGAGGTGTTTTAGGACGAAAATATTCTTTGATATTAAAACATTCAGTTTGACTGTTTTTGTTAGATGTTTGGCACGTTTTCTGATGCTTTATCATGGAACTTGTACCATCTGATGATGTGTAATGTAGAATATATCTACATGTATCGCAAGATACAAAGTGTTATCTTTTATTATTGACATATACGTGACTAAAGTTCAGTCGAACACGCGATGATAGTGTTTTCGGTTTTACGAATGCAAAACTTGTAGAATCATTTTTTATTAGTTGTATAAACGTTTCTTTTCTTGGTGGAGAAGTATCAATATTATTACTAGAGCTGAATTTTCCACAGTCAATTAATATGAATAAACAAAAATTACAACAATAACTCCAAAATAAAATATGTTTCATCACTCGTACTACATGTATCAGAATAAACGAAAATATTTGTTTATTTCTTTATAATAAGATTAAGATTCAATGTTTTCAACTGAATGAAAAATTTCTTTGTGAGGAAACCATACAAGAGTGGCAAGATATAGATGACTCTAGGGTCCTGTCGAATACTACGGCAACAACTTTTTGTTCATTGCAGACCTCTGTTTTATATGCTGTCGTGAAAAATACACAGTGTATCACGACGGCGATCATCAGTCGTTTCGGCTTATGATTACGTTGCACTTGAATGATTCCTTAGTTACCATTAAAAAAAATTTCGGTTCCAACGGGCCCGGTTCTGGTTCGGTTTTCAGTTCCATTCTTTTGCAATCGCTGATCTCTAACACCCATACCCACACTCTTTTCATCTCTCAACTTGACAGTGTGAATATTTTCTTTAGCTTTGTTCCCAGCTGTAACAATATTGTATTTCTTACAAGAATGTTCATTTTCTCTGGTTTCACACTGACACGCTCAAGCCCAAGACAAATATGAAGAATAGACAAGAATCTATGAATATTTACTGTCAGTAATATTTTAATCAATCTATTTTGTTCTTTCTATTGCCTCGATAACATTTTCGGACGAGATAGATGATGAATGTGATCGGTAAAATTATATAAATCAGTATTATGTCCATCATATATCGTTGATAGAATGGTAAAGTATTCTGAAATGGTACATATCGATCTAAATCACCTTTAGCATTGACAAAGAATTCAATTTCGTGTACAGCTCTCTTTACGCCACCAGCATGTTTCATTTCAAGAGATATCATTTGGACTGCTCTCTCATATGTAGTGTTCTTCCACATGACAAATAATTTCCTTGTGACATCATCTGCTGAGAATGTATAATAATGGAAACCATCAGGTCGGATCAATGATTGCCATAGAAATGGAGAAACAAATAGAGATTGTCCAACGCCTGAATGATCAATGGCCATGGCATTTACAAATTGATCTTTGCACAATGGCAAACATAGTATTGGCTTCTGAAAGTAAAGACTTTCACCAACGGAACCCATACCACAATGACTTATGAATAGACTGACTGAATTCTGTTGTAATAACCATTTTTGTGGAACAAAATGATTTTCAACTCTACAACGTTGTTCATCCAACAAAATACGTTGATATTCTCTTGTCTCTATTTCGTTCGTCACCTTTTGGTAATTATCATAATTGTATTGACGAAATGCGAATAAGATTGAAGCAGTAGGAGTTTTTAGAAGAAATTCCAGTAGACCTTCAATTAAACTTTTCATTCGATCGATTTGAATTCGTGCAATACTACCGAAAGCTACATAAATAATCGAATGTGTCGGTTTGGATTCAATCCATCTAGCCAGATCATTTTTAACATTGGGAGTGGATGATTCATCAATAAAGGCTCCAAGATATTTCTTGTAAGGATCGGAATCCGATGATAGAAAAAGTGTTTGTGGAATACTATACAATTCTAAGCATTTCGTTTTTGTGAAAATTTGATTTCGTAAGGTCAATGTTTCGTAAAATCGACCGGGTATTTGTGGAGGTGATCGGAAAAATGTCGGAAGTAACGGTAGCAGTTTCATCCCAATTGAGACAATTAAACGTAGATGAAATGCAGCATTATAGATACGATATTTAAACTGAGTGATTTGTTTTGATGATAGAAATGAGTTCATGTTAGGCAGATTGACATGGAATTGATCCAATTTAACTCCGGCAGTTTGGATCACACATGGTGTATTTGTTTCGTTACTGAGCGTATGAATACCCTTGATGGACGAATCAACGATAATTACATCAAATTGTTCAATCATTAATATATGAACTGTTTTCTCCAATAATGCGTCAACACTTCGAGCCAATGACGGTATCAGTAGAGAGAGACTTTCTACCAATGAATGATTAGCTAAATATTCCTCAAGGTCATTTTCTATTTTCATTTGATCGACTGCCGCATCAGTTGATTCATTTGTATAGACAATACGAAACGAAGACGAATGCTGATAGGATTCAAAGTCAATAAAATACTGTGCATGGGATTCGGTAATGAATGTCACATGATGATGTTTCATCGCTTTTGCCAATTCGAACATGGGAATAACATGACCACCTGCACCAATACTAATCATCAAGGACTTAAGAGCTATCGATGAAGGAATTAAAATGAATAGCCAAAGAAGGAACATAATATCAAATCCTGTTACACACGTATTATTAACGATACAGCAAAATCTCAATTGCGCTTGTCAAATATTTTTCTTTTCGTGCTTTTATCTTGTGTCAATATAAAAGCAAACATGTCTGTTACAAAAAAGGTTACCCATCGACAACAATGAGTCATAGCTAAAAGGAACACAGTGAAAGTATTCGAGTGAATATTGATCAGTATTCGGGATTCAACGACATCAATCTTCTGAGGCACATGAACTCTGTCAAACACAAGTATCGTTCGTCTAATGACTTTAATAGAAAAGAAGAGAAGAAATTTTTCACCAAAACTAGCTTCAAGTTATTGTTTTTCTTCATTGGACTTTTTCACAATTCTAGAGTATTGACTTATTTGAATTAGAAAAACACCCTAGATATCAATCCGTTTTGACTATGATCTATATAGCTTGTTGAGATGAATACTGGCATGGAAATCCTCCTCATTTTTTCCTAAATATGTCCTCCTTCTTCTCCTACTCCTCCTTTTTGCCACTTTAGCTGTAGAACTGAGACCGAAACGGATGAGAAATTCTTCATTCTATTCGACTAAAACTCACAGATAAGATGTTATTGTTCTCGCACATGTTACATACTACGTATATTTTTATGTTTTTTTTTTGAACTATCTGTTTACTTTTGTGTTATCCAGTTCTAATCACCTTTTCTACATTTGATGTGTTTATATAATATGTATTGAACAAGAGTGGAACTGAAAAGATCAAAGCCATTGACGAAGAGTTGACAAAAGTTATGGAAACAGTTTCAGTGATTCAACAAAAAAGAGCTTATGTTGAACATGAACAGTCAAAAAAGAAAAGTAAATTAGCTCTTGAACAGATAACAACAGGAGACGAAAAATCTTTTGACGATAAATAGTTATGTTAATTTTATTGAATAGTCAGATGAAATTGTTTTTTGTGATAATTAGCCTTTTGCTTTTTATTCGCTATCATTTTTTGTTTTAAATAACTGCTTCTTTCACTTTTTTTTGTTTGAAAAATATGAATAAACATTTATTGAAGTTGTTAAATATTTTATAAAGCCGTTATGGCTGAATGGTCAAGATGTACGATACATATCCACAAAAGAGTGTGTTCGAACCTCGACTCCATCAGACATAAAATGACCTTGGACAAATTACCAACGGTTGTTTATCTCGGACCACCCATCCGATAGCGCGCTGACTACGTGTGACATACACAAAAAGCCCTTGTGCCTAGTATGCGACTAGTCAGTATGTATGGGAAGTTTAAGTGATTAAGTGGGAGGAACTCTGAATCAGGCTGGCCTTCTGTTCAGAGCTGCAGCTAGCAATAGTTGTAGGAAAACAGCGGGCTTTCGAAACTGTCTTTGGTCAGTACTCTATACTGAAAGGTAGCCGAAACGCAAGGGTATTCTTCTTCTTCTAAATAATTTATCCTGCCCTATTCCGAGTATTAATGGGTCTAAAATTGCATAGGATTCGTTTTCCACAACAAAACAGAACTCTTCCTTTGTCTCCTTTTTTATACTACATCCTCCCAAAAATTTCAATAAAAATCCTTCCTATTCCTCCATTCTCCAAAATTAACGTTTCCATCGCAGACATGTATGTATACGTAACTCATCTTCGCGTAATTATTTTGAGCTGTATTTTGTGTAAAATTGCGTGTCACTTTGTTCACTTGTCCATAATCCATACAAACACGAATATCATTTGGTAAACACATTTTCGTATCTAGTAAAAACTGTTCATGATAATCTTTGTGAGTCTCAACAAGATCAAGTTGTTTAAGATAATGATATTTAATGATTAATAATTCTTGATTTTTTATTCTTTTGATTGTCTAAATCATTTATCATTTTGTCATTTTTTATTAACTATGGTTAATTTTTCTAATCATGGAAATTATTGAACAACTCGAAGAAAAAATTCATGTTCAAATGCACGTTCATCATATAATGACACTTCCCGAACACATTTATATATTCCACCGGGAAAATTATTTGTTATATTATAATAATGTTTTAANACCTATAAAAAATTGAATTAATAAAATAATTACATAAAACTAATTACGGAAAGAAATAACAAACGTTTTGATACAAGACTCATTTCGACAAAATTTTCTTGTTTTTGCATGTGTAGAGTTGATTATTTTTCAACGGTAACGATTTTTCTTATGTACTATCATGTAAATAAGCTTTTAAATATTTTTTTTATTCTTGAAAATAACTAAGAAGAGTTAGATTTAGTTTTCTGTATTAATTAAATTAAGCAACAGAAAGAAAGAAGCATTGAAATGTTTCATACCGATTAGCAAGGTTTACTTTCTCACATTCGGAATTAAGAAAAACTACAAGTAATATATGCAGCGTAGTCGATATACAAAAACGAAAGAATGGTTTTTCCAATAAGAATTTGAAAGAATATCGTTAGCACGAATTGTAGCTATAAAGTTGATTTATTTACTTCTTGTATCTAATTGCAACTGTCTCAAATTGTACACCGGTTTATATGACAGAAATAAAGACGTAATTGATCTGAATTGTCTTCATAGCCTGAAGTTCTCTGTGTTTGACACTTTAAACTATGCCATATTTATCCTTTACAAAAAATGTTCTCATAAAATCATGAATGATCAATAATTTTCGATAAAAATTTAAATCTTCTGAGGTTTTCTATATTTCTTTGGTGTCAAAAATAAAAAACTAAATATCTTTTCTTGACGAGAAGATTTTAATATTATTGTTAAGGATTTGCTTTTTGATATATTTCATATTTGCCATGAATGTCTGAACATTTCCATTTTTGATATTATGCTTTCAATATTTCAAAAATTTACTCATGTATCGCCATATGAAGTCTTACGAAAAAAGAAGTACAAGAAACCGGTTACCGATATACAGTGAATCACAATATAGCTCATAGGTTGCAGTAATTATTTGAACACGATACAAAAATTGTCTCAATCTGTTGACCACTTCCATTGTTGATAAGAATCTACAAACCTGATAGGTTTTATACAATGTTGAATGAAATATTTGAACTATTATGCATCAATCATAGCATGCTCTAGAGTACACAATGAAATTTCTATATTTTTTGTTCTAATTATATCTACTTAAAGTTTTTAGGTTGATATCTCATTCTCAGTCCAAAATGATAATAATATTAGAAATCGATCGTTCACTCACAATTATAAGATGAATTTTATTGACCTACGATAAAATATATTATTTATGTTGGTATTTTTATTGAAATATTTTGTTCAAAAACAAAGAAAAACTGCATATGATATTTCAATAGTTGTTATTATTAAAAAGCATCAGCTGACCAAAATGTTGCGGAACCTGTCGAATAAGCTGCTTTGATCTTATCGATTGTTTCTTTCGAAAGTCGAATATTACGTATCATCATGTCCGCTTTGAAATCTATTTTTATCTTTCCAGCCCATTGTTCTAATTCCTTAATGGTGATATATTGTGGTAGACCATGAAACCGTATTATATTTGTCTGCTGCTGTTGTCGACGATAAATCTCTTCAGCTGCAACTTTGAATAATTTTCTCTCAACGTCAATATTTGGTGCTCGCCATTCGGATACATGAATATCATTAATATTGTCTGGTTTACTGATCACAATATAACCCGATTCTTCTTCACGATGTATATAAATAATAGCGTTATTAAATTGCCAGTTCCAACCTACAAAATGCTCGAATAGAGATGAAGGTGACCGATCGAGTTGATATTCTCGAGGATTTTTTCCATGCAAAGCAAGTAATAATTCTTTATCTGATGAAAATATTTCAGATGTCGAACACCATTTCCTGTTATTCATAGTAGGGTCAAAATTCTTCCATTCAATAGTAATTTCATTGGGCACATTCATTTGTTCCCAACCAAGAACAGAATAATGATTATATCGTCCAGTACCCAAAATAGATAAATCGAATTCATCGTTTTGTTCCATTCTTTCAATGGCCAAACGAAGTAGATGTCGCGAGAGTCCTTGATTTCGATAGTTCTCCAGAGTGGCTACATTGGAAATACCACCACATAAATATTTCGTATCATCGTCACGAGACTGAACCATAATGCGTCGAATATGTACTGTACTGATCAGTTCTCCATCATACCATGCGCCGATAGTGTCGCCGTGTTGGTATGTTGGGGCTGCTTCAATGGCGAAATCACGTTCGAACCATCCTAGATTACCGGGTTCGAATACAGAAACCCATAAATCAAGAGCTTGAACTTGTTCATGTTTTTCAACAGGACGATAAACAACCGATGAGTTTTTATTAATATTGCACGTCATGATTATGAAGATCTATGTCGTCTTATCAGAACAAACTATGATTCACAAATGAGAAAGATAAAAAATGAGAAAGAAAACATTCTCGTTTAATAAAAGACTATGCAAAACCCCATTCAACTCCAATGACATGATCGAATTTGTGGACTATTGTAAAGATGTTGTCTGGTGGTTTGATTGCAAATTATCCTTAATATTAGTAGAGGTCAGTCTAGTACAACTCAATTAGATCATTGTCAAGAACTTGCATTTAATCATATGAATAAGACTGTACCGAGAGGAAGCTTTTCGTTTATGGAATAATAATGAGCTAATAATGTTAATATATATTGATGTTACATCAAGATCGTGGCGAATCTCAAATAACTACTAACTTTTATTAATTCTTTGATTACTTATTTTTGATTGAAAAAATCGATGACAAATAAGAGAAAGGCAGATATCAGAGACACAAAAAACGAGAAATGTTATCTCGACACTAGTAGTATTTTTTTTTTGCTAGTTATGGTGACAGCGACTATTCGTTCCACCTCAACGACGTACTGCAATGATCACCTTTAACCTTAACACTGCCTTCATCCTTACTATCTTACACACACAAGAGAGTAAATTAATGATTTCTGGTTTCTTAGCTGTTTTAGACTTAGGATCCAAAAGAACAGATGATTGTATTTCTATTAGTTCAAATTCATAGGATTTTTTCGAATTTACAGAAATTTTGAAAACTGAAGAATTGAAATTTACAATAAATTCGGCACATAGGTTTCAAAATTAGAACTAATTTGGGTTTTGCCATTTCTTGTATATTTTTCACTTTCTAAAGCAAATCAATAACATCAACAATAATACGAAAAATCCTTATTGTTGTCTTTTTAAAAAAAAAATATGAAATAATCATTGAAATCAACTAAATCAATTCGATGAATTTTTTCAAACAAGAACAAAGCACAAATATAAATTATTTCGTTTTTGTTAAATCCTCGTTTTTTAAAAAAATTGACCATTTGACCCAAAAAAGTTTTGTATAGAAAGAAGCTCTTGGTAGGTAAAAGCCACAGGTTAGTGGAATATAAAATTTTGTAAATAAATGTCCGTGGTTCATCATTCAATATAATCTTTTTGAACTTTTAGAAAATTCCTTCACTAACCTCGAACGAAAGATAAACACAACAAATCTAATCTCATTTTCGACTTGTCTGAGATACTTTCAAGCAAATCAGAATGAACAACCATTGGAAACAGAAACTTTGCCTCACACTTTTCGTCCAAACACATTTTATGGACCTTTTAAAGATAATCACATTGCCATCGTACAAAAACTAAGATAAAATTTCTAAGGTAATAGTCGAAAAGTGCACAAATACGTTGGTCTCAATCCATAGCTTTGAACTCCTCGGAAATATTTTCGAAGTAGCCAAAAAATAAACAAATATTTTGTCTCAAAACTTTCAGACCACCCGTTATTTTCCTATAGACACTATGGATTAATAATATCTGACCAGAAAAAAGTTGTTCAAACATGTAAAGGTTTCTTTACTGATTCTTTATTTATTCTGTCATGTAAAGTTAATACGTATTATGATGCAAACATTAATTTATTTTTAATGCAAAAATTTCTTATCTGTTAGACTGGAAATGCTTAGTGAAGTATCTTTTATATATTATTCGTTCAATTGAATAAACAAAAAAATATTTTGTGTATTATTAGTCCATTGATCTATTTATTTGATTTATCATTTTTCAAAGGTTAAAAGAATTTGTTTTATTGAAAGTAAATATATTTTACATCTACTAACTTTTTATTCATAGGAAAAAGATAATTAGAAAAAAAGATCTACTAACAAATGTATATTTGTTTTAATAGATAGCATTAAAATGAAATCAATGAAACATATTAAACGAATTATAACCATTTTTTCCATTTAAAATAAGTAATTGTAAGCATTGCACAAGCTCCTAAAATAGCTAAAATAAGAAAATATCCATAATACCATATTAATGGTGGCGTATTATTAAAATTCATTGAAAATAATCCACAAAAAAATGTTAATGGAATAAAAATAATCGAAACTAAAGTAAGAAATGTCATTATTCTATTCATTTCAGCCTCATTAAGTATAACATAAAATGATATTAAACTTGATAATAGATCACAATATGTATCAATGCGATCATGTAATAGTATAATATGGTCATTAAGGTCTTTAAAATACATAAAAATATATTCATTAAATAACGGAGCTTTTTCTTGAATATTTCCATGTGACCAACGATGAGTAAGAGAATCGGAATTTGGATTAAAAAAATAATACCCAGATAATGTGATACGTTTTGGTCGCTTTTTTCTTCGATATTGTCGTCGATATTGAACAACTTGATTGGTGAGAGATATTCTATCTTGTGCTTTTTGTAATTTAATAATAATTTCTCTTAATGGTTGACATAATATTCTAAAACTTAACATATCATGTTTAATATCATAAATTAATGTAAGTGTTTCAGAATTAAAATGATGTGATGAAATCTCAACATTATTTGGTTTTAATTTATTCATTAATAATTTATCGATTGTATCAATTTTATTACTAATACGATCAAGAAAAAACATATAATTTTCAATAAGAACATCAATAAGACAATAAAATAAATAATCTATTTTTAATGAACGTATTCTTCCACGATTATTTTTTAAACGATTTTTAACTATTTGAAATATATCAATTGAATTTAATTCATCTTTAGCTTCTTGAAATGTAATTAGAAAATTATTTTCTTTTAATATAAATGATATTTGTTCTTGATGAATATGTTCTGTATTAGGATGAACATAAATCATTTTCATTAATAAATAAATACATGAACCATTATCAAGTAAATCAAGTTTCATACGTTCATTTATTGTATAAATATCTTCTTTAGTTAATGCATGAAGATTAAAACGATTTGATAATTCATCAAGAATATCTGTTCGATGAATACCTTCAACATTCATCCATGTACAATAATCTTTACTAGAACATGGTGTTTTTGCAAGAAATCCATTTAATTCTGATAAAGAATTAAAACTATGTTCAGTATAATGTGATTCATCATATTGAATTATATTAAATAATATTGGAAGATTATCTCTATTAGATATTAGTTTTAAATCATATTCATCACCTATTAATCTATGATTATGAAAACGAATATGCATTTTTTCTTACTTGTTTTCTTTCGTCTTTAGTAACAATTGAGACGTTAGAGATAAACATGTCAAAGCATTCAACTGTGACCAACGAATATCATTCATCGTTGGATTAACACTTGTAGTCCAATCATATTTTTTTTTAAATAATATTAAACATTATTTTACTCTAATTTCATAATGATAAATTTTTAAAATTAATTGCAAAAAATTAATTGGACTATAATCAAAATTTAAAAATTCTTTAAGACTAATTTAATTATGTGACTAGATCATTTTATGGGAAGCGCTTTTTTCATTACCAAGGTTATTCAACTACGAAATGATCACCAAAAAAAAAAAATAGTGTTTTGATTATGAAATTTATTATAAATGATTTTGAATGCTGATGAAGTCTTCTTTTCAAATTCACTCACAGTCTCAAACTCATGCGAATGGCAAACGGTTTTGATGGCGAAAAAAAAGTTTCGATTATACGAAAACAGGAAAAAATGTTTATTCTGAGATTTTCAACCCACGAGATGAAGATACTTTATAGTATGTAAACAAGTGAGAGATGTATAAGTACATTCAGATGTGAATGTGAATGTGAGTGTGATTGAAGAGAAGATTCAAACTTCACAGCAATACTTACATAGTCTACAATCCACATCTAATTCATTTTCGACATTTTTTATTTCGTCTTTTTTTTTTTTTGTTAATTTTTCTTTCGACTAAAACGATACATACCGCTCACTCAGACGCTTAGTAATCATTTTGAAGTTAGACAATTTTGGTGATGAAAATATATTTTTTCTTCATTTTGTTTTCGAAAAAATGTATCCGAACGAATAAATAAATAAAATTTTGTTATCTAAAGACTTTGTTTCATTTATGAAAGAATCATTTTTGAAAATAACTTTAACTCATACATAATTTAAGTAATCATTAATATCAATATATTGAAAACTAGAAATGGTACGTGTAATTCATCGTCTTTTAATATTAAACGTTAAATTAGCTGATGTTAATATTATTAATTATAATAATGTAAGTAAATCATCCGTGCAGAGAATATGAATATTTATCAACTAATGAAACTCCTTTTTTTTTTAAATTCATTGTTAAAAATTGCATATAAACAATAATTTAAATCGATTCAATTGCAAAAATTGTATAGATAATTGCAGCAGTTCGAACTTTGAACATTCGAATGTTTAACAAATTATTTTGTAAATCTATTTTAATTTTTTATCTTAGCAGGTAAATTTATGCGTTATAACTCGTTCGAATCAGTCAAATAACAAGACAAAGAAAAGTATTCATTACTTTTGTTTTGTTTCCTTTCATTGATAAGAAAAATATTTTTTAAAATAATACAACCTTGTCCGTAATTCTCAATTTTCTTCCTAAGAAGTAAATTTTTACGTAATTCTATAATCAATTGCACAAGATAAAATATTTGATCGTGTCACTTAACCAGAAAGATTAGATAGGTTTACAAAGCAAGTGATTAGCATTTCGTCAAGTGTAATCTGAACTACTATAAGCAAACTACTTTTTGAGCTAAATTGAATGTGATCTTGTGACTTTACTCGATTTTCCAAATGCACCTAAAAACAATTATTTTTGTAGGTCGGAAAAATGAGCAGGATGGAGAAATATAACAAATGTTGAAAAATAATATGTTTTTAGAAAAAATGATCGTCATTGAAAATCTTATTTTTGTTTTTGATTCAATAAAATAATTCTAAAACTAAAATCAAATCTTTGTAGTCAAGTGCCGTTATTCTATCGAATCATATTTGAAAAACACGAAAAATAAATTCAACTTGAAATATATTTTCGAACAAAAATAATGAGTGTAAGTTTCAAATAGGCCTACAACAGTTTTATATTAGTTCTGATCTTGAGAACTATTTCAAAAGTTTTTTTAAGCAGTTAACAGAGATGAAATGGGATTGGTTTGACTTCAAAAAACAGGAAGCGCGATTCAATTTCTGGCAACTCATTTGAATTTGATTAGTTTCAACTGTGGATGATCTAAAATGAGCGTAGTTCTAAAAAAAGAATCGATTCATAGAACTGAGAGATGTCGCAGGTTTAGTTTTAAATTATAGTTTTGTGGCTTTCTCTTCTCATCACTGACCTTAGCAACCAGTTTTTGATTTTTAAGCAGATGAAAATTTCTGTTAAAGATATGAAGAATAATGGATAATTTTGTATTTATTTACTAAAACTGTCATAGACCGTTTCTCTCTTGATCGATTATCTTGAAAAACAACTATTATCTGTGAGATTTTTCACTTGACGTATTTCGTATTAGTATAATGAGGCTAAAGAACACATACGAGTTTCACATTTGAATCCTGAAAGGTCGGTCTGTTCTAACAAGTCTTTTTTTTGTAAATCAAGCGCAAAGAAAAGACTTATTTTTTCCTTATTTTATCAATGCTTACAATGTCTCATTGTCTGTTTAAATAAACATATTCAAGTGAACGATCGTATACATCCGCTATTGATCTTCATTCTTAAAGAAATGTTTTGATTGGATTCAACTTGAATTATGAAATATTTTAATAAAAACGATTAGTTACTCTTATATAAATATTGATATTGTTAAAAGTTGTCTTTATAAATATGGTTCATCTTTTTTTCTAGTAATATTATTTTATTTATTTGTTTCAAACAGTTAAGATACTTGAAAATATACTTAAAAAACTTTTCAGATATATCTTCAGTGTGCAGTTTTCTTATCTTTAGTTGATAGCCGACATTCAGTTGACATAAACCTATATAAATATATATATAATATATATGATAAAACTAGAGTAATACTACGAACAGGACATTCAAAGATACACTCATCTGTTCTATTTTCTGTACAAATGATTATTTTTCTCAAATAAGAAAAAAATAATAATTGGATTATATATATAATCAATGATTATTCATAAGTTAAGACAAAAATAAATTGTCAACCATCTTTCTTTTGACATATTTAATATTATTATAAATATAAAGATAAAAATCGTATGTATAAGTGCTTGATTTAACATAGAGAAATACAGATTAATCAAATTAATCTTAATTTTGTTGTAAGAAATTTAGATTTTTTGTAAATAGAAGTTAAAATAGTTTCAATAATGGTAATGTGATATTCTTTGTTGGAGTCATTGAAGGAATAGAAAAAAATTTCTTATTTAAATAAAATCACAATGCAAAGTTTCATATTGAAAATTATTAGGTCTAACTATATTTCTGTCATATTTACATTGTCACAGGCAAACTAACAAGTTTAAAATATTGTCTTGTTTTATAGACATTTTTGCACTGAACATGAATGAAAATTCTAGAGTCCTATTAACATTCCGTTATTTCCTCTATGATGAACTGATTCTTTAAATATTAAAAATAATTATTTAAAATCTTATTTAGATTTTCTAGAACAATAATTGTCATACTACTTTTGATGTCGTGTCAAAATTTGGTACTATTCTTATGGAAATAAAATGGTGTTCAATAATTTTGATTTTATTTCAAATGAACATAATACAGTGAGTTATACAATATTTCTGTAATTGACTAAGAATAAAAATTATGATATTTAATTAAATCGTAATAATAAAATTATTTTCATTATAACAGCAAATTATTAGTTTTGATTCTTTATAATTAGCAATTTATTCAATAATCGTCAAAAGATTAAAACCAAGAATTCCTTGATTCTTGAATTCATCAAACGTTTCACTACTCTTTTTTAAAACCGATATGAGCTTGGATTTATTTTATTTTCTAATAAATAAATAGTCGTCAACGAAATAAGGACACATCTTGTAGTTGAATAGAAAAAACTGATCATTTAAGATAAATTACTAGATGACGCTCTTTATTTTAGGAACACCAATCTAAGTTGATTTATATCAGTTTGAGTTCTATCAGGGTCAGCAAAAGGTAAAAAATATTAAAATGCTAATAGACGTAGGATTTCCATCAAGAGACGCAGTAATTTCCGTTATCGTTTTTCAGACGTCGAATGGTTTGTCTGTAATGATGTTTATTGGTGTGATTACGTTTTTGAGATTCTTCTTGTATATTTTAACTTGTTCTCCGTTGACAATAAATAAATTCTAAATTCTAATCAGTCTCTCGGTCCATCGGAAAGTGACGCATCCGTGTCTTTGAAGTGCTTATATATTTTATACAAGTCAGTTTTTTTTTAAATAAAGTTACTCTTTTTCCATTAGAATACTACCAAAATTTGACAAGACATCAAAACTAGTGTGACACTAATGTTCTAGAAAATTAAAATACAAATTGAAATATTTACTTTTCATATTTGAAGAATCAATTCAGCATGGAAAAAATAGCTGAATGTGAATTGTGCCATAGGATTTCTACCTGTCTTGTAATTATCCGAAAATTTGAATATCTCATTGTAAAAAAATGCCTATAAAATAAAGTTATATGTTAAGTTTGTTAGTTTTTCTGTTGTAGTGTAAATATGATTTAAAGTATGTTTAATCGTACTAGCTAACAATACAAAACCTTCTATTGTAAGAACAGAAAATCAGATCATTACGAATGTTATTGAACATTTAAAAAAGTGTTAAAGTTACAAGAGAGTGAAAATTCTCACGAAATCGATAAGATTACATTAAATATCATTTGATCTAATGAGCTGAAATAAACATTGGTATCGAAGGTGAAAATCTATTTTTATTCGACTGCATAGGAAAATTTGTATATTACAACACTTCTATTATAAATTTAATTGTAATCTAGAAAAGTTATTTCCATAACAAACAACATAAGTCACATTTATGAAATAACTAAATTGAAATAAATTTCAATGTTCAATTATTTATAGAAAGTCATATTTCATATACAATAAAGATTTTTCTACAAACATTTTCTATAGAGTAAATATAATATTAGGTAAAAGACAGTCTTGACATGTGTAACATTTTCGACATTATCCTTAGAATACGAAATTATAAAAATATGTTTAATGAAAATATTCTGAACGCAACGTACCATTGAAGAGAAAAATTCATACTATTGTCTACGCCAGAAATAGAAAAGGAAAACTCTAGAACAAATATCTCGAGAACAGAATTAGATAGAGACCTGCAGTTTTCATCATTGAAAAGAGCAATGCCGGAGGCATTGATCGGTATAAGTTTGATTAGGATCGGATAGAGATCTTTCATGGGTAATTTTGGAGTGATATTTTTTTTTGTTGCTTTTTTTAATCACTTTTCAGAAGAATTTCAACATCAAATGTACCAAAATGTAGTCTATAAAAATGATCATGTTCTTTAAAAACCTTAGTGAAGGAAAAAGTTGACAAGATAATTAAAAATTAGGGAAATTATACTACGAACACGGGATGTTTGGACTGCATTTTGGTACATTTGATGTTGAAATTCTTCTGAAAAGTGATGAAAAAAGACAACAAAAAACTATATCAGTCCAAAATCACTCATGAATGAACTCCCTTCGAACCTAATGAATCTTATACCGATCGATGCCCCCGGCATCGTTCTTTTCAATGGTGAAAGCCGCAGATTTCTATCTAATTCCGTTCTCGAGATATTTATTTTAGAGTTTTCCGTTTCTATTTTTGGCATCGACAATAGTTAACCTGCGTACAAAACTTTTTTTGATAGAAAAAAAACATAATGCATTGAGTTGGTGTCATATCAATCGAGGTAAAGTATTTGATGTGTATTGTGCGTCATTGCATGTGTGTCTTAGTATTTCCTTTCTATTTATGAACTTCAATCAACGTTTCCTTGTCTCTCTATTTCCTTTAATAATTTTCTTTCCGTTGTTACCCATCATTTTTCTCAGCTGTTTTCCTTCCTCATATGTACATTTCAGTTCTCATGAGGTTAATCTCTTCTTATTTAAAATACCAAGACAAAAAACATAAAAATTAATTTTTTATTTATTTAATTGAATAATGAAAATGACGTAGAATATAATATTTTCAAGCTTTTTCTTCCATTTATTTTTTCTACTCTGACAAACACAACGTAACAAAAAAATGATCAACTACAAATACATTTATTTGTTTTGTGACGTGTTGACGATGTTGTTTCATTCGTTTCTTTTGATGGTTCAAGATAATGTAAAAGAAATAAATCATTTTGAATTCGAAATGCTTTATTTATTGCGATTAAAATTTCTTTTTTTGTTTTATTATCAAGATTTTCTGTAATCCAAACAGAATCAATAATTAAAGTTTCAATATAACTTAATGTTGCATTCATATGTATGTAATCAACATTAATTGATGCTGATCCAACTTTATTTGTATGCATTCGACCAATGCGTGAAAGATATTGAAGAAAATCATCAGTCCATTCACGTTGTAATAATAAACGTTTTAAATAACTACTTAACATATCTCGACGATAGGCCATTTGTGCTGAATCTAATGTAAGTACTTCATCTTTTTTTAATCGACCATCAAAACCATCATTACGCAAAACAAAATATTCTTTTGTTAGATCAAATTGAAATAATTTTCTATAGACAGCATCTACAATTACCGGAATAAGTGGAAGAGCTATTGTTGCTAATGTATTTAATGCTTTAATGTCATCATTTGTAAAACTTATAAATTTTGATAAATACTCAAAACGATAACGAAGATCTTGATTTAAACGACTACTATCAATATGTTCGGTCATTTTTCTAGAAATAAAAATAATTTACAAATATGAGATTCTGTAAGATTGCTAAGAGTATGAGCAAAGATCATTGAAGAGAAAAGAAAAGGCAGAATAAATACGATCTTTTTTTTTTTCATCTTTTCTTTTCTTTTTTTGTTCATTCTGTCGATAAACAAGACTACGTTCATATTGCATGTGAATAAACACATAGATGAATTATTTTCATAATTATATTTGCTAACATAGAAAATTGAGAAATACTCCGAAGAAAAATAAAAACGTGTCCAATTAAGAAATAGAAAAAACCTTTTTATTTTTTTATGAATATTTTTTTCTTAATTATAGAATAAGACTTTCAAACGAGGACAAGATGTTAAGGCTTATTAAACTGTAACTATACTATTTTTCTGAAAAAACACTTTTGTTAGTTTTCATTTAACTAAGATTATTGATTTCTGTTTGTTTGTTTTTTCTGAATAGTGCTAAACAAATAAAATCATATTTTCTAAATCCTAAACATTAATATAATATATGATACATTTTTTAATTGTGATTCAAATTTAGTCTTCATTGCGTCTGCAAAAATCTTCTACGAAAATGATTAACTACTACTTAATCAGTACAAGAAACATCTATTCTTTAAGTTCAACATAGTCAAATGTTAAGATATTCTGATTCAACTGAGTTTTATCTCGATGACATCAGTTTGCGAGAGTGCATTCTAAATCATCAATCGATTTTTCCACGTATTTATAAACAAGAACTAATCGAAAAACTGTGTAGAAAAAAAAAAAGTGTCCAAATATGCGTAGGTTTATTGTGTTACCCAGAATCAATTATATATGAGTGTATACATTCTAATAAGCGTGGAATGAATGTTTAACAGATGCCCTGCGATACATCTACTTTAAAATGCACACAGCTGCAATACTATCGTGCACTATACATTATATTTTAGTATGAGGAAAAAACAATTTCTTCAGGAAAAATTTTATATAAATTTAGCGATTCAAGAAAACTATATGTTACCTTTTCAATCGTAACAACGCTTTAAAAATATGTATTTTACTAAAATTTTGCATGCTTTTCTAGTTCAAATGAAATTAACATAAAATAACTTATGAGAATTCGTTCAAGTTCATATTTTTAACATTTTGTCACAGTCGAAAATGAAGCAGATTTTTTTTGGTTAAATTGATTAATTTATATAAATTTTCTTTTTACCTAAGTACTTTGACCTTTCCTTTTGTTATATTTGATATAATGAGGTTTTTTTCGATTTAAGCTTCTAATTGTTTAATTCTATTTTATTTGATAGGCGTTATCTCAAATTGCACAACTGATGTATTGATGTTGTCATATGCAAATTTTGTTTGTGACAAGACATGATCAGAGTACTGATCGTTACCATGTTACTTCACACGGATAACCTACTATGAAGGCCATATGATAAATTATTTTGACTGTAATAAAAACATTTTTTAGTCAAATACGAGATTTTCTATTTAACTGATGATATAATCGTCTGAATTAGAGTTATCTTTCGTGAAAATAGTTAACATAATTTAATAAAATTATTTTTTGTCTATATGTGACTGATTTTCACGTTATTTGCGTAGTTTTATAAACAATAATAAAAACTTCGAGGTTACATAGGTGTTTAGATATGACATACTATTAAAGAAATGATTTTTAAATATATTATAAAAATATGTTTTTTTTTTATTATTCTTAAAATGAGGTCCTTCGAACTAAATATGGATAAAAGAATTATTGAATTATGCACATAACAAAGTCAATAATTGACCATTATCAATGTGTAACATGCAATGAAGTTTATATCTATTAATCAACATAACAACTTGAGAATGTTGATATGTATATTTCTTTAAACTCCATAGATGTAGACAATAAGTTGGTTCATATATTGAACAATTAAGTTTTAATTCAATAAAAGTCATATATACCTTTAGGGAAAAACTGTTTCTTACTCTCGGTTTCCAGACATTTCTTTATTCTAAACTAAAATAAATGCTAATTTGAAATATTGATTAATTTAATCGAATAAAGTATTTTTTTTTCTGTTTTGCTTTTCACTGAACAATAGTTTTAAATAATAAATAATTAATAATAAAACGAATAGGTGACAGACGAAACGAATAATTGCCCATGGGTTTAATAAAATGAACGTTAAAGTAACAACGATTAAAACTAAATATGGAACAACGTATGAAAAATGATTCATTATCTAGTCTTTTTTCTTTATTTAATTTGATTACAGCAATATTTTTTTCATTTTTTTTGTGCCGCCTTAAGTTGCTCAATACTTATTCATATAAAATAAAGTGATAATTAAATAAGTACATTTTGGTAAAATTCTTCATTATAATGTTCCTTCAATGGATAACATTATATTACTTATTTATCTTTATCTATGAAATAATCAAAATCTCAATGAAAACCTCACCTTTCGTATTTTATAATTAAATGCTTCAAAGATATACGTATTAATGACTATTGTTGAGTCTAGATGACAAACTAAATTTATTTTACTACACATTATTAATTGATTGGTTCGACATAAATCATTGATTTATTTTTATGTTTTAGGAAAAACATTCAAATATTTTTTCAATGAAATTCTCTAAAATTATTGATTAATTTACTATTCATACTCTTAATGATGATGATTGTCCTTGACATACACGTTGATTTCTTAAGAAAAAGCATCCTATCAGTGAATATTTGTTTTAACAAAATCACTCGAGTGTGAATAAATGTGTACTGCACACGAGAAAGGATTGTTTTAAATATGTAGTAGTAGTCGAAAGATACAGGATGAATCATTATTTTTTACTGTAGCGAAGATTTTGCTTCTGTTTTCTTCTTTCTTAATGATTAAATATTTTGTTACTTTTTGAATATTTTTTTTTTTCATTTGAGGATATTGAATTTACTGTAAAGACCCACGATGACACAAAAAAGTTTTACAATTTATGCTACAGATTCAACTGAAACTAATAAGAAGAATCATATTATAAAAACTTACTCATTTAACACAGATGATGATGATACAACACTGGTGGCAAAATCTCTTGTAGTTCCCAATCATAAATTAGTATCAGTAAATTCTCCGTCAATTGATAATGGTAATATTGATGATGATTCATCAGAAGCTACCAGCAAACCCAAAACAAAAAGATCACGACAAACACATGATTCTGAGGTACGATATTATCTTTAAAAATAATATCTTATACTATACATATTTGTTTAAAAGAATTGATTAAGATGTTCTACTTAATATAACAATAAAAAAAAAATAATAATTACGAGCAAGATTTGAACTGTCGTTCAATTTAATATTTTTTGTAAGATATTCACAATACGAAATTCAAGTAAAGTTTTTCTTTCTTTGCTTTGTTTTACATTTATGGTTCGATAAAGTTTTGAAATCCTGATTAAGAAATAAAATACTTTTTAAATATTGTCAATAGTTTTTTTTAGTCGGAAAAGTGCATAAAAAAACAATTGAGAGGATGTTATTTTTTGCAAAAAAAAGCGTTGTTTTCAGTTTATGTGAAATTTTCTATTCTATTATTTTTTTCAGTTTATTCAACTATTTTGTTTTTCATAAACTTAGTATTTTAAATTGAGTAGAAACACTTTATTAAATTGAACTTGATCCTATAATTCTGTTGATGGTGCTAGTCTAGAGTGGTTTTATTCGCATGTTTCTAAGTTATTTTTGTAGCTCTATCTAGTTTTTCTGTACTATTATTTCAGGTAAAATATATTATTTCACTTAATTCATCGTATTACTCGTCATAAAAATACGCATCACTTGGCTTTTCTACATTGATTTTTTTTTGAGAAAGCTAATTTTTTCCAAATTCTAATCAAAATAGTTAGACTTTTGCTCAGTCAAACTGATATTATTATATTCAATCACATCATTAAAAAACTGACTGAGCTGACGTATTATTTCATTGTTTCCAGTAACGTCGGGTACTTCTCGAGTATTCAACTGAAATGATGATTGACATTTTCAGAGACAAACAAAAATGTAATAAAAAGTGTCGGAACATGTCAGTCGAGTCACTTTTTAGCGCTGTATGACCGAATGTAATAATGTTATTACATAAAGAGCTTGGCCTTGATGGAAAATTGTTTAACCATTTGACTCAGAACTTTGCAAAAAAACAAGCAATTATATACTTCTATGACGAGTAGCACGATGAGTTCAATGGGATAATATATTTTTTCTGATCATTGACATAGAAAAATTCGATAGGATTACGAAAAAGATCTAGACTTTACTTGAATTTCGTATTCCAGGTACTTTATGATATATTATTTCATAATTATTTTAATCTAATTTAAAATGTCTTCAAAGGTCTTTTCTTTTAATTCTCCAACGATTTTTAACTATTAACAAGAATAAAAAATTGAATGGTAAACATATCTGAGAAAAATATTTTCTTCTGCTTTTTCCTCAATATGTAATTCACCTTCAATAAGGAAATTTTTATTAATTTGATATGTTTGTATAGAAAAAACTCGAGAACAAATGTCCCCCATTAAAGAAATATCCATGGTTTATGAAGATCGATTGGTCAAAACCTTTATTAATCGTGGGTTCATTAATCTTTCTTTATTTGATATGGACGAAACAAGACATATGGATTCCTCGATTGTTAACATCAAATGCTCGTATTCAACGTACTGTCATTGTACAAGATAGAGAAATATCAGATGAGTTAACAAATGTATCTTCATATCCATCGCTAACAAACACATCAAAAGATTCACGACCGAAATCTACTCGTAAAGAAGATACTATCGAAAATAGTGAAGAGAAAAATGATGATCAAGATAATAGTGAACGGACTAACATTAGAAACAATGAAGACTCAACAGGTTCTTCTACTAAATCAAGTAGTAGTCATAGAATCCATATTCGAAGTCGAAGAGTCAAAATGAGTTTTTCTAAAGAACATGAGAAGAGGAAATATCATTCTTCAAAAAATCTTCTTATCGATAATGATTTAGACGATATTAATGATGCAGAACAATATATACCAATCACACCAAATCAATCAATTTTATTATCACGCCATTCGCGAAAGAAACGTCGTCATCGTGAAATTATTCCATATGAAAGTTTGAAGACTATTATTCCTCTAAAATCCAGAATACGTTTATCTACATATAATGACATTATTGGTCAATTTAGAAAAAATCTTAAATCTCAAAGTCGAAGTCGACGTCGACAGTTTTTATCAACATTATCGAACACAACTGGTTTAAGCAAAAATAAACTACATCGATTTATTTATAAAAAAGATTTTCGTCTTTTAAATATTCAAACATTTGTTTCTATTTTAGATACATTTCATTTAAAGCTTTTAATTGTACCAAAACAGGTTTAGAAAAAATAAATCGCCCTTGACCAGGATCGAACTGGCGACCTTCTCTTTAGAAGAGAGACATGCTTGTCCACTGCACCACAAGGGCACATTATGATAAAACAGAACAATTATCGCTCAACATTTCTTCGCAAATAAAAAGAATAATCGAAGGAATGCAAAGATAATCTTGCACAATTTCTTCCCCTTTTGTGACTTTAGATTTGCATCATAAGAAAGACATCGATTCTATGAATAAATATTTTATGAAAAGGGTAACTTTTCTTTTTCTTTAATTATCTCTAAACAATATCTCAACTATCGATTCTTGATGATTAAAGCCGCTATGGATGAATGGCTAGGTTATTTGACACGTATGTATCAAATAGAAGACGGTTATACGAACGTTAAAAAGCGTTAAATTGATGTTGTCACCGTTTTGAAACATGCAAACGTATTTTTCATAGTTTTCTCTTAATGTATTTTGATTACGAACTGTTAAAATGGACTCATTTTGCTACAATAAAATAAACTACGATTAAACGAGAAATTTCTGTTTTTTTTTGTTTGAGTCATCGTAAATTGATCAAACAGTATTTATTACAGTCTCTCACATATTATTTAGATATCTTTTCACACTACATATACTAAAACACACTGCTCTAAATGACAAGGGAACATTCCCAGATGTCGGAACGCTTTTCAGTCGGGGTTTCGCGCATCTCGTAGTCCTTAGTAAACTATGTCTACCATAAAAAAAAGTTTGAGTTTCTGGAATATTCTTACCGAAATATCGAGGTTTTAGCAAATTTTCTCTATAGTGTCCCACTTCTGTAGCAAAGCTATATTTTTGAATTTTGATCTGAAACTTCGCGTACATAAAGGCCTCAGCTAGGCTAGCTTGCATAGAAAGTTTCAGAACTCTTGGACAAAGTCTCTTCGAGACATGGAACCATAAAAGTTCAGATCCTTTTCATAAATAATATATATAGTATGCATTTTTTGAAGACTTCTCATATCGGAGAGACTCTGTCAAAAAGTTCTGAATTTTTTTATAGAAGCTAGTCTATCTATCTGAGGCACTTAGGTACACAAAGTTTCAGGTCAAAATTCAAGAATATAGCTTTGCTGCAAAAGTGGGACACTATAGAGAAAATTTACTAAAAAAATGGATATTTCGGTAAGAATATGCCAGAAATCCACACTTTTTTTTTATGGTAGACATAGTTTACCAAGGACTACGAGATGCGCGAAACCCTGACTGAAAAGCGTTCCGACACCTGGGAATGTTCCCTTGTAAGACTGAAGTAAACAAACTGTTTGACAACTCAAATATATTTTTGTAATCGAATAAGCAGAAATTTTTGCATTACATGTTCTTCGCTAAATGGTTTTGACTAGAGAATGATATGCATATGAAAATGTACATTTATATCTTTAGCTTGAATCTTTTATAAAAAGGCATGTTACGTGTATCTCATATACTATTTGAAAAAATTGCAAATCTATGAACATACAAATCATGGTGAGTTGTTGACAGTGCAATGCGAGCTTTTCCTCAACTTTCTAAGGTCAACCGGAGTAAAATGGTGTGAGACACTGAAGTTACCAAACAACTAGGGTGGCACTTTCACTTTAATTTATCCATGAAACAATTTTTTTTCTAATTTTACTTTACTAAGTAAAGTAAAGTTGTGTCCCTTTACCTTACTTTACTTTTTCAAAGTAAAATAAAGATAAAGTGCCACCCATACACATAACACATTGCTAAACTCGTATTTTAGACCATGAAAGGTTAAAATATCAGCAGTTGATGACATATTCAATTGTTCTATTTTTGTATAGCATGCACTATTAAGTGTTACCATAGTTTCTCTCTCTTTTGACTCATCTGATATTTACAGTGCTTTTCTCTTTCTTAGAAATAAGAACATCATATTTGAGTAATAAATGATCGGTTGTAAATTGATTCTATTTTTGCATTATTATAAATTTTTTAAATAAGCAAGTGAGAACTTTACTATTTCATTTATATACCTAAATATCTTTTTTTTCTATTTCTTTCTTTTGCAATTTTTTTTCGCAATACATACATATACATATTTCGTCGCATGTAATACTTAGAGGTACCTTATTTTCTTATAGAAGGCTTGAAGAAATTTTCTTTTTTTTATGGGGTGATAGAGAAAACAAAGCTCTATTTTTCTGTGCTATTTCATTCATATTCAACTAGTACCCTAATAATAAAATTTCAATAAGAACTAATTTTGTGTAAAATATAACTATAATATTGGATCATATTTTCATTCATGTGCATTTTTGTTTTTGGTTGTTTCTTTGTTCTTCTCTTCTCTTTCCTTTCTTCTTTCTTTTCTCGTCTCCCATGTCGCACATTTACATGAACTACCGCCGGTATACCGCGGTACTTTAAGAAACCGCCGGTACACCGGCGGTATACCGACGGTTTTATTGAGTACCGCGGTATACCGGCGGTTTTATTAAGTACCGCGGTGTAACGGCGGTTTTATTAGGTACCGCGGTATACCGGCGGTCAAAACGCTACCAAAATACAAATGTA